TGCGCAGGAAGTGCAGCGGGCGCTCTTCATTCGCGAGCGCCGATGACCGATGATGCTCGCAACCCTCCCACGCCCTTGCTGGCTTGGCAATAAGCACAGACAAGCGCAACCACGTGACCCGGTGGAAGAAAAACGCTCGGAACGAGTGCTTCTAGCCCAAAAACACGGAAGGATGTGCAGGAAGTGCAGCGGGCGCTCTTCATTCGCGAGCGCCGATGACCGATGATGCTCGCAACCCTCCCACGCCCTTGCTGGCTTGACAATAGGCCCAGACAAGCACAGCCACGTGACCCGGCGGAAGAAAAACGCTCGAAAGGAGCGCTTCCAGCCCCAAAACGAGGAAAGATCCGCACATGTACAGGAAGTGCGGCGGGCGCGCTTCATTCGCGAACGCCGATGACCGATGATGCCCGTAACCCTCCCACACCCTTGCTGGCTTGGCAATAGGCTTATAAAAGCGCAGCCACATGACCCGGCGGAAGAAAAACGCTCGGGACGAGCGCTTCCAGCCCTTACTCGCGGAAGGATCAACACATGTACAGGAAGTGCAGCGGACGCTCTTCATTTGCGAGCGCCGATGACCGATGATGCTCGCAACCCTCTGACGCCCTTGCTGGCTTGGCAATAGGACCAGGCAAGCACAGCCAAGTGACCCGGCGGAAGAAAAAAAGCTCTGAACTAGCGCTTCTAGCCCCAAAACACGGAAGGATCCGCACATGTGCAGGAAGTGCAGCGGGCGCTCTTCATTCGCGAGCGCCGATGACCGATGATGCTTGCAACCCTCCCACGCCCTTGCTGGCTTGGCAATAGGACCAGACAAACGCAACCACGTAAGAAAAACGCTCGGAACTAGCGCTTCTAGCCCTAAAACACGGAAGGATCCGCACATGTGCAGGAAGTGCAGCGGGCGGTCTTCATTCGCGAGCGCCGATGACCGATGATGCTTGCAACCCTCCCACACCCTTGCTGGCTTGGCAATAGGCCCACACAAGTGCAGCCACGTGACCCGGCGGATGAAAAAGGCTTGGAATGAGCGCTTCCAGCCCCAAAACGCGGAAGGATCCGCACATGTACAGGAAGTGCAGCGGGCGCACTTCATTCGCGAGCGTCGATGACCGATGATGCTTGCAACACTCCCACGCCCTTGCTGGCTATGCAATAGGCCCATACAAGCGCAACCACATGACCTGGCGGAAGAAAAACGCTTGGAACAAGCGCTTCCAGCCCCAAACCGCGGAAGGATCCGCACGCCTACAGGAAGTGCATCGGGCGCTCTTCATTCGCGAGCGCCGATAACTGATGATGCTCGCAACCCTCCCACGCCCTTGCTGGCTTGGCAATAGCCCCAGACAAGCGCAGCCACGTGACCCGGCGGAAGAAAACGCTCGGAACAAGCGCTTCCAACCCCAAAGCGCGGAAGGATCCGCACATGTGCAGAAAGTGCAGCGGGCGCTCTTCATTCGCGAGCGCCGATGGCCGAAGATGCTTGCAACCCTCCCACGCCCTTGCTGGCTTGGCAAAAGGCCCACAAAAGTGCAGCCACGTGACCCGACAGAAGAAAAGCGCTCGGAACGAGCGCTTCTAGCCCTAGAACGTGGAAGGATCCGCACAAGTGCTGGAAGTGTAGCGGACGCTCTTCATTCGCGAGCGCTGATCACCGATGATGCTCGCAGCCCTCCCATGCCCTTGCTGGCTTGGCAATAGGCCCAGACAAGCGCAGCCATGTGACCCGGCGGAAGAAAAACGTTCGAATCGAGCGCTTCTAGCCCAAAAACAAGGAAGGATCCGCACATGTTCATGAAGTGCAGCTGGCGCTCTTAAATCGCGAGCGCCGATGACCGATGATGCTCGCAACCCTCCCACGCCCTTGCTGGCTTGGCAATAGGCACAGACAAGCACAGCCACGCGACCCAGCAGAAGAAAAACGCTCGGAAGGAGCGCTTCTAGCCCAAAAACGCAGAAATATCCAGACATGTACAGGAAGTGCGGCAGGCGCTCTTCATTCGCGAACGCCGATGACCGATGATGTCCGTAACCCTCCCACGCCCTTGCTGGCTTGGCAATAGGCTTAGAAAAGCGCAGCCACATGACCTGGCGGAAGAAAAACGCTCGGGACGAGCGCTTCCAGCCCCAAATCGCGGAAGGATCAACACATGTATTGAAAGTGCAGCGGGCGCTCTTCGTTCGCGAGCGCCGATGACCGATGATGCTCGCAACCCTCCGACGCCCTTGCTGGCTTAGCAATAGGACCAGACAAGCACAGCCACGTGACGCGGCGGAAGAAAAACGCTCGGAACGAGCGCTTTTAGCCCCAAAACGCGGAAGGATGCGCACATGTACAGGAAGTGCAGCGGGCGCTCTTCATTCGCGAGCGCCGATGACCGATGATACTTGCAACCCTCCCACGCCCTTGCTGGCTTGGCAAAAGGCACAGACAAGCGCAGCCACGTGACCCTGCGGAAGAAAAACGCTCGGAATGGGCGCTTCAAGCCCCAAAACGCGGAAGGATCCGCACATGTGCGGAAAGTGCATTGAGGGGAAATGAAGTGAGCCCCTCCATGCGTGGGGACTGGAGTTGCAGTCCCAGCTGGGGGACTGGAGCTGCAGTCCCAACGCAGGGACTGGAGCTGCAGTCCCAGCGCGGGGACTGGAGCTGCAGTGCCAGCGCGGGGACTGGAGCTGCAATCCCAGCGCTGGGACTGGAGCTGCAGTTTTAGCTCGGGGACTGAAGCTGTAGTCCTAGCGTGGGGACTAGAGCTGCAGTGCCAGTGTGGGGACTGGAGCTGCAGTTCCGCCCTGCTCTGCCCTGTTCTGCCGTGCTTTGTGCGTGCATGTGATTGTGTTGGGGCACAGGGAGTCGGTGCAGCAAGCGATGACTCTTGAGTCAACTCAGAGGCCGCCCTGCTCGCCATGCTGTGAGCGTGCAGGTGATTCTATCAGGGTGCAGGGAGGCGGTGGAGCAGGCGATGAAGCGTGCGGATAGGAGCCGCTTTTGAGAATTCTTGATCGTGCTGTGTGCGTGCAGGTAATTCTGTCGGGGCGAAAGGAGGCAATGCAGCAGGCAATGAAGCGAGTTGAGGGGTACCAAAAGCAGTTGCAGGAGCGCGGTGTGCTGCTGGTGCCCGTGCTGCAGAGCAAGGGTGGAGGCGTGCTGGTAGAGAGCAAGAAGAAGGGCTTTGCTGCCGTCAAGAAGCCTGCTGCTACACTGGAATCCCTGGTGAGACGCAGCTGTAGCGACTGCTAAGCTGGTCCGTTGTTGGTGTGCTGGCTCCTTGAATCTACTGTCAGCTCCTTCAGTTGTGCATATGTCCTCTCTAACGCTGGCTGGCTGCTGCAGTCTCTTCTACGCCCAGTTATTTCCTATTCCCAGGTAGCTCCATTGCTCAATCTTCTGAAATTGTTTCCCAGTCGATCCTTTGTTCCTTCCCAGTCAACTTGGTCCACCTGACCATCTGTGTGCGAACGGTAGGATGAGTTTGAGGAGAAGGCGAGGGAGGCGGCGGCGAAGAGAGTGGCGGAGGCGGTCAGACGGCTCAAGGCTGAAGTGGTGTCACCTGGGGAGTGGGACCAGTGAGTGGGATGGGGGAAAGGGGTGGGTTAAGGTGGGAAGGCAGGGAAACCACTTGGCGAGGGAGGCGGCTGCAAGAGAGTGGCGGAGGCGGACAAACGACTCAAGGCTGAAGCCGTGTCGCCCGGGGAATGGGACCAGTGAGTGAGGGAGGGAGGAGTTAGGGGAAAAAGAAGGGCGACCACTAGGCGAGGGACAGGAGGGAGTTGGATTGGTGAGAGGTAAAGCACATGAACATTCTGTATGTGCACACACACATACAGCTTGTTTGCCAGACTGCATGTGCATGCTGTCCTTATTCAATGACCAACTCATGTGCACTACCCCTCCTTAACCCAACCGCATCATTACACATGGTACATTTGTAGATGAAGTAAACTAATCATGCTAGATAAAGGACTGCTGAGAATGTCATTTGTAAGCTGTTTAAGTCACTTATTAATAGATTTATTTCAGCACTAGTAAGGTACCCATAGTTAGCTTGCTTTGTTTCGATATATAAATATATATGGCAAAAGTGAAAATGCCACAAGCACGCTGACGACACTGAAGCGAAACTATTGAAGGGAGCTTGGCGCGCTCTGGTTGTTTGTCTATGCGGAGCGAGCCATCTTCCTGCTGGCTACGGCGCGTGACTGGCGGCAGATGTAGTTATGATGGAGAGATGGACGTCCACCATTGGTTGTTCTTTTCCTGACCGCGACAAGCAGAACTTAGGCAATTGGATTGGCTGCGTTTACACGATTCCACACCGAATGCTCTGCCCGCCCAATCATATCGTAACTACGAAGGCCTGCCTTCCACAAAGATCTTCCCACAAAAAATGCTCCCAAGAACTGGAATTTCTGCGGATGAAGTGTGCTTTAGAAATTTTGGCAGGGAAACCTCAGGAGAAGCGAATCAATCTCAGGCGTCAAATGGAACGAAACGACCCGAAGCGGCGTTTCGTAGACGTATGAGGATCACCGAGAATTCCGTGTGACCACAGCGTTCAGGTCAACTTCAGAGTGGTGGGATGGGTGTGGTGTGGTGTGGGTGGAACGAGATGGGGGTGAGATGAGCTGTTCTAGTGTGCCCCTCTCATCCATGCATGCTTGCCCAGGCTGTCTGTGTGACTGGTGGCAGATTCAAGCTCGCCGCCACCTTGGGATTATCCAGACTGACCTCTCCGCAATCCATTTCTTGTCATTCATTTGTGGCTGCTTCAACAACTCTCCAAGCCCAGCTCGTCGCTCTCTACTTTCTTTCGACCTTTCTTTTTACGTCAGCAACGGCATCTCACTATCGAACGCGTGAACTGCTCTTTCTTTCGTCCTCCGGCTTTTGAAGTGCCGGCCCAGCGGATATTACGACGTCGTAAACGCAGACTGGACAGGTCTTGAGCAAAAGCACACTTGCAGCTGAAGCGCGGTGAACGGAGCAGGACACAGCCATGTCTTCCTCGGCTTCGTGCTCGCTCTCCTCTCTCGCCGTCGCTTCTCCTACCCAAACCGACACACCGCACCACTGCCCAGTCAACTCATTTCCAGACCGCTCTCTCAAGCCGTCACTCCGTAGTCCGCTTCCGCGTCCCGCCTCGCCGTGCTTTCACTCCGGCTTGCTTTCAGTCAGACCGGCGTTCACCCAGCGTTACCGTGGCAGACTGAATCCGTCAGTGCCGTCAGCATCCTCCCAGCACACGCTGCCAGCGTCCTCCCGGCATTCTCACTCGACTGAACGAGGACGAAATCATGCTCATGCTGGCAAACACCGGTCATCTATTGAAGAAGGTCGAACGGTGGTATCTCCAGCTACCGACGCCGCATCCCTGCAGGGGTCCGTTCAAGACAAAAGACCTGCCACGTCACCAGGATCTGTTCGATCCGTCGCTAACGGCTGGGATGAGCTGGATAATCTGGAGGACATGACGGTGAGGCGGAGCGCGCGGAGTAGCGGGGGAAGTAGGGGAAGCGGGGCGCGGAGGACCGGCAGTGCGCGGTTCCGGGCGGAGGAGCTGCGCCGGAAGCATCGGGAGCGGAGCCAGGCGCAACAGGCACGGCAGGTGCGGCAGCAAGGGCAGCAGCAAGCGCAGCAGCAATCGCAGCAGCAACGGCAGCAGCAACAGCAGCAGCGGCGATACTCCGAGGCCGCGCGTGCATTTGAGCCGGAGGTGATTTTCGAGGGGCCTAACGAGGGCGGCGAGGAGTGGAAGCGTGCCGCGGGCCGCGTGTGGGAATGGATTGCTGTGAAGAGCGGAAGCGGCGGCGGCGGCGGCGGCGTCGGCTCTTGGTCGTTCTTCGAGCCGTTGTCTGCGAAATATTATGCTGGTAACATTTCGCCCGGTTCCGAGGGAGCTTTCGCGGATCTCGTGCTGCTCGCGATCTTTCGCGTAGTCCGCTTCTTCCGCCGAGCGGCAGCGTCGCTCAGCGCCACCATCGTCGCCGCGCTACCGTCGACTTCCCAAACGACACTGGTGAGTCATTTCGGGTGCTTCGTACGTCTTTCCGCGGTGCTTCGTGTGTCATATTGCGGTGCTGAGTGGTCAAGGCAGTTTAAACACCGAACCTCGTCTTCTCCCCCTACCCTCTCATTGTTCGTCGTCAGATTAAGGCCGTAGTGGACGGCGCTCTGCTGCTCTCAGGAGTGTGGCTGCTGCGAGGCGTCTTCGAGGTGAGATTTCTGTTTTCGAGGCTCTCAGGATTTCTGCCCTCCCTCCTTCCGCTCCCACGAAACGCTCATGCCGCCCTGGTTCCTGTTGTCGTTCGTGACATCGGCGGGTATCAGCGAAAGCATACTTTCCTCCCCCTTTACCACCCCCCCAAACCCCATGTTTTCTTCTGTCGCTCTGTCCCTCTCTCCCTCATCGCGCATTTCTTCTTCAGTTTCCCGCCATCTCTTCTCGGGCTGTGTCCAAGGCCTCACATCTTCGTCCGTCCCTTTTCTCTTCTCTCCCCGGCCATCCCTCACCAGTTCACATGGCGTCTGGGCTCCATCGCGCTCCTCTCTCTCCTCCCCGCCCTCGGCGCCATGACCCTCATCTCCGCCACCAACTCTCCGCGCCAACCGCACTCCGCGCCCTTCCCCGCGCACCCGCGCGCTCCCCCATTCGCCTCCGCCCCTCCTCCCCCTCCCCCTTCTCCGCCACCCCAGGGCCGCCGCCAGCCCCCCTTTTCTGGCGTACCGCCCGTCCCTGGTAGAGTCGCTTCCGTCAAAGCAGATTATAGCGTGTACAGAGATAACGCATCATGGCACGAGGGAGACCGGTACACTGCAGGGGAGGGATTCAGTAGGCGGAACGGGCGATTCGAGCGGTGGGAGGGGGTGAGCGACGACGAGCTGGGAATTGGATATGCGTCGAACGGATATGCGTCGGATGGGGACAGCGAGAGTAGCCTGAGCGGAGTAGCCAATGGAATCAGCCATAACGGAGCAGACGCAGAGATAAATTTGAACCCTAGCATCGATTCGGCTGCTACCGAGACAGTTGGACGAATCGTGGGTGATACCAACCATCGGCCACGAGCAGCTGCTGACGTCAGCGCGTACGACCATAGCGAAGCGGCCGCCGCTGCTTATGGCGCGGATGCTTTCCATTCTGTAAACGGTGCAACTGCTGCTGCTGCCGCCGAACATTCCAATGTACATAATTCTAGGAGTGGTGTGCGCAGCATCCGCAGCAGCATCGGCAGCAGTATCGGCAGCAGGGGCATGCGCGTGTACGAGTGTTGCAACGGCACATGCCCTGCTTGCAGAACGCCCGCGTTTACCAAAGCAGTCCCTGTCGGGGATAGCGCCGCGAGTGGTGTGCCAAGGGCTAATAGACCTGGCAGGGGCAGTGCTCGTAGTAGTGTGGCAGGGGTTGATAGGGCTGGAATGCTGGTTGAGGAGGAAAGTGTAGCGGCAGCTTCAGGTGCAGTCGCAGGTGCAAGTTCAGAGATGAAAGCATGGAACGAGGCCATTGTCGCTAGTGCTTCGCCCCTAGGCCCTACTTATGGGGATGGTGCTCCTGCTGCTTCCGCTGCTCGTAGCGTGGGCGGGTTTCACGACGTAACCTCTGCTTCCCCTGTGCCAGACGAATATTTCTCATCTGCGCTGCCCGATTCTGCTGCTCATGCTGACGCGGCCAGAAGGCTGGAAGCCGTCCGATTGGACCTCAAACGCCACGTGGCTACTGAATCTGCGCGTTCTACTGCTGCTGCTACTGCAGCGCCGCCTGCTGTTACCCCCGCAGCTGCTGCTGGCAGTACCGCCGGGGAAGCTAAAGTCTTCGACCCACTTGCAACAGCAACACCTACAGCACCAGCAGAAGCAGCAGCAGCAGCTGCAGCAGCAGCAACCGGAGTGGCAGATCTCAGTGCAAATGCATCAAGATGGGAGGAGGGCGTGAGCGGAGAGGACGATCTGAACCTCAACGCGGTCTTCCTTGAGAATTTCTGCGAGTGGCCGCTCAGACGCGTTGCTGTGGCTGCTGCTGGGAGCAGGGCGGACCCGGCCATACGAACGGATAGGGTGGGGCGGGCGGGCAGGGCAGACCGGGTGGGGCCTGTCGTGGGGAGAGGAGGTGCGGGAGGCGAGAGCAGGGTGGCGCCTGTGGGTGCGAGTGGTGCTATGCAGCCAGGGCAGTGGGATGTGCGCAGCAGTGCGGTGGGGGGAGAGAGAGAAGGGATAGCTCAGGGCAGCAAGAAGAGTGTTCCTGGGGGGGCTGGCTTGGGTCTGAGCCTGGACTCGTTTGGGTTGGATTCGCTAGGGTTGGATGCGCTGGGATTTGATGCGTGGCAGGCGTTCATGTGGGCGTCTGACAGGATCTATGGCAGCAGCTATGGGGACTATAGCTTTCACCGGAGGCAGGGGGGGACAGGGAGAGCAGGGGGGGCTGGGGGAGCTGGGGGAGCAGGGGGAGCAGGGGGGACTGGGGGGGCAAGGGGACATGGGTTGCTGGGAGGAGAACGAGGGCAGCAGCAGGCAGGACAGGGGGGTTTGCCTGGCAGCGGGAGGGGTATGCCTGGCTGGGGTATGGGAGGTGTGGGTGGGATGGTGGGGATGGGAGGAAAAGGAGGTATGCCTTTGACGGTTTCCCAAGGGGAGAGGCAGCAGAGCGGTGGTTGGTCAGGAATGAGGTCCAGCAGCAGAAGGCAAGGAAAGCGCTCTGAGTGGGACTTTGACCTGAATAGCATGCCGTGATGTGGCGCCACCAGTTTGTGCCTGGGAGTGCCCCAGCAAGCACCGCATGCCATTATGTGCCACCGCCACAGCATGCCCTGATATACTCTCGGTCGTTCACCAAAGCACGCCATTGGTTTGGCTGTGTGACATGCTAGTAGTAGCTACCTCAGCTGCTTCATGGATGCAGGTTGGTTGGTTACACACGGATATATACATACGGGCTCACTCAAAGAAAAATGCTCATTTTTGGGATTCAGGTGGTTTGGGCAAAGTAGAATTTGGCAGGTGGTTTCGTGCATTGGACAGTTATGTCTCTCTCGATTTTTCATTTCTGGTCTGTAGCAGATTTAAGGACTTGTAATTTCCATGTAAATGTGATGTGATCTCGAATATTTACTAATAAAGAATATATCGGAGACAAAGTTTCACTGTACGTATGTCCAGTTTTATGCCCTACAATGTCACATCACCAATCCAAGCTCGAGGGATCAAACTGCCGAAGCACTTTTTGCCAGTTCAGCGGTTGGGTGTCAGGTTAGGCGGGCCCAAGCCAAGCCATTACATTTGCTAGAGTCGCCGCCACTGACAGAATTTCTCTGTATCTCTTTCCTCGTACGTCTGTCTCGCATCCACCAGACTCCGGCAATGCCTAGTGCGTGCGCGAAACCGGTACTCTCGTTACGCGTCGACGCCGGTAGGACTAGTCGTACCGTATTCCACCGTACCGATTTCGTTTTGTCAATGCACTGATCTGGACGCGTTTGAAGCAGTTTCGATTTCAACATGGCGTCAAGTGGGGGAGGAAGCGGAGGCGGTAGGCCGCTCGCTTTCCTAGAAGACATGAATCTTCCCGCGCCGGAAGCGGCGGAGGAAGATCGCGCGGGAGGCTTCTCCGCGCATCCGCTTCCGCAGGGAGTTTCCGCCGCTCCGCCAGCCAGTTCCGCGCAGCCTATCATGGCCAATGCGTCATCCACGCAAACTGCGCTCGCGCAGGCGCCGTTCCCCGCGCAGCCTCCCCCGTCCGCCGTTGCGCCGTATGCTGTTCGACCGTCCGCGTATCCCGCATCAGCAGCCACCCCGCTGCTTTCCATCCCCGCATCCTTTCCGTCCGCTTACGGTGCGCAATCCGCTTCCGCCGGTTCCGCTCTCCCCGTTTCTGCTTTTTCCGCTTCGGCCTCTGGACTAATGCAGTCACAGCAGCAGCAGCCGCAGCAGATACAAGCAGGTCAGCAGCTATTTCAGCAGCAGCCGCTGCAGTTTCAGGCGCAATATCAGGGAGGACCATTACAGTACCAGCAGCAGCCGCAGCCGCCGCAGCAGCAGTCGCAGCAGCAGTCGCAGCAGCAGCAGCAGCAGCAGCAGGCGCAGTTTTTTCCACAACCGAGCCAGTACCAGCAGCAACAGCAGGGTGTGCAGTATCAGGCGCAGCCGCAGCAGACGCAGCCGCAGCAGTTTCTACACACACCGTACCAGCAGCAACCAACACAACAGCCACCACAGCAACAGCAGCAGCAGCAGCAGCCCGGAACCTTATGGGCCAGCACACCAGGACAAGGAAGCGCTGTAGCAATGGGCGGCCAGGGCACTGTAGCAATTGGCGGCCAGGGCACTGTAGCAATGGGCGGCCAGGGCACTGTAGGCATGGTGGGCCACAGTGTGTCTGGTATGAGGCCTATCCCCATGCTGGGCGGCCAACTGCTATCCCACCTCTCCTCCACTACTCCCCAGCTATCTGCTAACCTAGTTCGTTCCCCACAACCCCCTTTCCCCCTTGCTTTCCCCTCTACCTCCGCTCCGCTTAGCTCCGCGCCTTCCCCCTTCCCCATGCATTCTGGCTTCCCCCCCGCCTTTCAGCAAGCGGGAACGCTGGTGCCGAGCCAAGCGCCGAACCAGCTGCCAAGCCAGCCCATGGCTCGGCCGCATTATGCCCCTGTGGTAGGCCAATCAGGGCAGTCCACGTCAGCAGGACAGTCCACGGCGATACCTCTGCTAGGCCAAGGATTGGTTCCTCTTCCTTTTCCGAGCACTGTAGCAGCCGGCACTGTAACGCACAGTGCTGTAGCACCGGTCGTAGCTGCTCCTACCTCTGCTGCTACAACTGGTCTTCTCTGCATGCCCTCTGCTGCACCAGCAGCAGCACCACCACCAGCAGCAGCTGCGAGCAAGCCAGCAGCAGCGTTTGCAGGGCTGGATCTAAACGCCTGTCCAGATGATGCCACTTCCCTCTCCTCGCCCACCTCCCTCACTGCACCCGCTGCTGCCAGTGCGGATGCACCTGCTGCTACAGCTGCCGCCACAGGCCCTGCTGTTACAGCCGGTCCTGCTGCGGCCGTTCCGCAAACGTCTCCTGGGTTTGCACCTGGGATGGGGGGAGGGGTGCGAGGTCCCATGGGGCTGGTGCTGCCGCCTCAGTACAACGTTCCCCCCTTGGGAACTGGCGCTCACTATAGCAATGCTATGGCAGCAGCAACAGCAGCAGCAGCAGCAGCAGCGCCCATGACAGGAGCACCACAGTACAGCGTTCCAATGGGCCCAGGCGTGCCTGTGACTGCGCCCCATCCCATGGCCTCCCAATTCGCTCCACCACCCCATACCGCCCCCCACGTGCCTTCACCACTCCTTACCACGCCCCACGTGCCTGCACCACTCCATACCACGAGTCACTCAGCTGCGGCACACTCACACGCTCACCACATCCGCTCAGGCCCGCCCCATCTGCTCTCCATGCCGCCCGCACTGCATGCTGTGCCGCCCGTGACTGCCGCCCTTGCTCCCCCTGCCACCCTTGCTCCACCTGCTGCCCCTGCTGCTGCTCCCGCTGCTGTTCAATCCGCAGCCACTGCTGGTGCTGGTGGCGGAAGCAGCGGTGGTGGTGGTGGTGCTGCTGCTGCTAGTGGTGGTGGTGGTGCTGCTAGTGGCGGTGGCGGTGGTTTCGGGTTTGAGTTGGATCTGAACGCGCCATTGGACGAGGATGAAGGTGATGCTCAAGGTCAGAATGACGGCCAATTTGATGGTCAGCTTGACGCTCAGTTTGATGCTAAAGCACGGGGTGAAGCGGAGGATGAAAGAAAAGTAAAAATTGGACGTGAACGTGTAGATGGTGGAGCTGACTCAGCGCAAGGTGGTGCTGACTCAGCGCGAGGTGGTGCTGACTCAGTGCGAAGCGGTGCTGACTCAGGCCGGGACCACAGCACGGTCACTGATGCGAGCGGTGCTGCTCTGAGTGGTGGGGGCGAGAGAGGGGTGGGAGGAGGAGGAGGGAAGGTGGAAGACGAGGGTGGGGCAGAGGGGAAGGGCGTGGGGAAGGGCGTGGGGAAGGGCGTGGGGAAGGAATCAAGTAGTCCTAGGAGGGATTTCCTGCACGATCTCAATATGACTCAGGAGGAGGGGGAGGTGGGGCAGGAGGAAGGCGAGATGGCGCAGGAAGAGGGGCAGGCGGGGTTGGAAGAGGGGCAGGCGGGGTTGGAAGAGGGGCAGGCGGGGTTGGAAGAGGGGCAGGCGGGGTTGGAAGAGGGGCAGGCGGGGTTGGAAGAGGGGCAGGCGGGGTTGGAAGAGGGGCAGGCGGGGTTGGAAGAGGGGCAGGCGGGGTTGGAAGAGGGCAGCGAGAGAGGGATGGCGGGTGGGCAGGGAAGGGGAGATGATGGGAGAAGGAAGGGGTTTATGGTAGATATGAATATGGCTCTGGATGGGGGGGAGGGTGGGGAGGAAGGGAGTGTGGGGGGAGTGGCAGGGAGTGAGGGGGTGGAGAGTGAGGGTATGGAGAGTGAGAAGGTGGAGAGTGTGGGGGTACCTGGTGGAAATGAAGGAGGGGACTGGGAAGTTAGGGCAGGTGAGGAGGGGAGGAAGGAGGTGGGTGAATCAGGCGAGGTGATGAGAGTGGAAGGGCAGGAGGCAAAAAGGGGTGGAGGAGAGGAGGGAGGGGCGGAGGAGGAAGAGGAGATGGGGGTGGTGGGGCTGCTGGGACTGGCAGAGGCACTGGAAGGAATGGCTGCTGGCGCTGCTGGTGATGATGGTGGTGGTGATGCTGATGCTGATGCTGATGGTGGTGGTGATGCTGATGCTGATTCTGATGGTGCTGCTGACGATGCTGCTGGTACTGCTGGTGCTGATGGTGGTACTGGTGCCGCTGGTGGTGGTGATGGTGCTGAGATGGCTGCGATTCCCGCTGCTGCCGCCGCCGCTGCTGCAGTTGCCGGGGAGACCACATCTGGTGGCCGCTCGTCTGCCTCTCCTCCCCCTCCTCCTGCCTCGGGAGCGGAATCCACAGATAATGCAGAGGCAGGGGTTAATGTGGGGCTACAGGGGGGGTTTTCACAGGGGGCAGCAGATGTAGGCATGAAGGGAGACAAGCAGGGGGACACGGAAGGGGAAAAGCAGGGAGGTGCAGAGGGGGACGCAGGGGCAATCAGAGGGGCGGTGCTTGTGGCAGGGAGAGACAGGCAGGGGAATGCAGAAGGGGTAAAGCAGGGAGGGACAGAAGGGGAGGAGGGAGACGCAGTTGCAAGTGCGGAGGTTGGGGGAGGGAAGAGGTCGAAGAGAGGCGCAGGAGAGGGGGAAACGGGGGGTAGGGAGGGGAGAGAGGGGAAGGAGAAGGGGAAGAGGAGGAGGAAGGAGGGGCGATTGGCAACAGTGCCAGGGGAAGCTGGTACTGGCGGTGGTAGGGAGGCAGGTGGTAGGGACGTTGCTGGAAAGGGGACTGATACTGATGGTGGGAAGACGGGAGTGCGAGGAGAGGGAGGGGCAGGGGTAACCGGTGGTGTGGGTGGTGTGCCAGGAGCAGGAGTGGGAGGAGTGGTGGGGGGTGTGGGTGGTGTGGGTGTGGTGCAGAGGGGTGCAAAGAGAGTGAAGGTAGAGGAGGTGGGGGGTGAAGGGAGTGTGGAAGGGGTGGGAGGGAGTGTGGAGGAAGGAGAAGCGGTTGGGAGGGGTGCAGATGGAGCAGTAACTGAAAGGGGGCCAGAGGGCAGTGTAGGTGCCCACGTTGCTGTGGCGTCTGCTGCTGTCTCTGCAGCTAATTCTGCCCTGGCTGCTGCTGCCCCTGCCCCTGCGCTTGCTGCTTCGGCACCTACACCTGCTGCTGCTCCTGCTACTGCGCCTGCTGCTGCTGCTGCTCCTGGTAGTGCTGCAACTACTGCTCCTGCTGCTGCTCCTGCTGCCGCTGCTCCTGCTGCCGCTGCTCCTGCCCCCCTTCCTGCTGCTACTTTGGGCAAGGAGGCGGGGGCAGTGAAGAGAGAGGAGAGCAGTGGCAGGGAGGAAGGGAGGAGCAGGGAGGAAGCAGGGGAGGAAAAGGGGAAGAGGGAGAGGGAGGAGGAGGAGGAGCTGGCGGGAGCGATAGCGGGGAGGAAGCTCACCGCGCTGCCCCCTTTCAGCAAGGCCGAAGGTGAGTTCAGGTTTGAGACGACTCATTGGGGAAGAGGGAGCAGGAGGAGGGAGAGGGAGGAGGAGTTGGTTGCAGCGATAATGGGGAGGAAGCTCACCGCGCTGCCCCCTTTCAGCAAGGCCGAAGGTGAGATGGCGGTGTGATGGTGGGAGATTGTGGTGAGGGAGTTTATGGTTTAGGGTTTGGTTTAGGGTGAGGGATGGGGAGAGGGAGAGGGAGGAGGAGGAGGAGTTGGCGGGAGCGATAGCGGGGAGAAGGCTCACCGTGCTGCCCCCTTTCAGCAAGGCTGAAGGTGAGATGGTGGTCGATGTGTGCATTGCTGATATGTCTGCCTGTATCTGCTCTCTCTGTCCCACCCTGTTACACCACCCGCTCACGAGGTGACTTTTGAGTCGATTCAAAAGTCACCTCGATATGTGCACTGCTGGTATGTCTGCCTGTATCTTCTCTCCGTGTCCCACCCTGTTACACCACCCAGTCATGCCACAACATTGCGGGGGGCTTCTTTAACGAGGTGACTTTTGAGTTGACTCAAGAGCCACCCCGTTACGCCACTCTGTCATGTTACACCATTACATGGAGCTTCTTCAACTTCCCCTTCACGATCTTCCTTCCACCCTGCAGCTGCTTTTCCTTCTTGCTTCTTCCCATCTCTCCCCATCTCTCCCCACATCTTCCCACCTCTCTCCACGTCTTCCCACCTCTTCACATGTCCTTCCCACCACTCCCCACCCCCTCAGGGCTGGACCTGCACGATCTAGTCTGGTCGGCCCACACATGCAGCGACCTGCCTTCTCTAGATGCCCTTCTCGCCCAGACCATCGCTCTGTGCCATCGCCACATGGCCTTCCACCTCATCTCCCCTCCCCTCTTCCCTTCCCTCCAGGACTCGACCTGCTCGACCTGGTGTGGTCAGCCCACGCTCGAAACGATCTATCTTCTCTAGACGCACTTCTCGCCCAGACCATCGCCCTCTGCCATCGCCACATGGCCTTCCACGCCGCTGCTGTCTCTGCTCCTCATTCCCCTCTCACCTTAGTCGCTCCCTCATCCCACCCATACCTTTACCCACACCCACTTTCCCACCTCCCCACCCTTCTACTGCTTCCCACCGCCCCCCACCCCCTCAGGGCTGGACCTGCACGATCTAGTCTGGTCGGCCCACGCTCACAGCGACCTGCCTTCTCTCGACGCGCTGCTCGCCCAGACCATCGCTCTGTGCCATCGCCACATGGCCTTCCACCTCATCTCCCCTCCCCTCTTCCCTTCCCCCCAGGACTCGACCTGCTCGACCTGGTATGGTCGGCCCACGCTCGAAACGACCTGCCTTCTCTCGACGCCCTGCTCGCCCAGACCATCGCCCTGTGCCATGCCATCGCCACATGGTCTTCCACCTCACCTCCCCTCTTCCCTCCCCCTCCCATCCCCGTCCAGGGCTTGATCTCCTCGAACTGGTGTGGTCAGCCCACGCTCGCAACGATCTCTCTTCTCTAGACGCGCTTCTAGCCCAGACCATCGCCCTCTGCCATCGCCACATGGCCTTCCTCTGCTCCTGTTTCCCTTCTCACCTCTTCCCACCTGTCCCCACCACTCCCCGCCACCCCCAGGACTTGACCTCCTGGATCTAGTCTGGTCAGCTCACGCACGCAGGGACCTGCCCTCATTAGACGCCCTGCTCGCCCAGACCATCGCCCTCTGCCATGCCATCGCCACATGGCCTTCCACCTCACCTTCCCTCTTCCCTCCCCCTCCCATCCCCGTCCAGGGCTCGATCTCCTTGACCTGGTCTGGTCGGCCCATGCTCGAAACGATCAATCTTCTCTCGACGCCCTTCTCGCCCAGACCATCGCCCTCTGTCATCGCTACATGGCCTTCCACGCCGCTGCTGTCACTGCTGGCCCCTCCTCGCTCTCCCTCGCACACGCCTCCCCCGCCGCCACCGCTGCTGCGCTTGCATCGGCCCGCTACCACTACTGCTCGCTCGCGTTTGTTTCCAAAAAGATTCCCGAAGCCTTTGGTCTGCGGCGCACCAGAGAGGTGAGAGGGGGAAGGGGTGAGGGGGGTGAGGGGGAGAAGGGAGATGAAATTTGTCACCACTGCTGCCCTCGCCTCTGCCCGCTACCGCTACTGCTCGCTCTCGTTTGTTTCCAAAAAGATTCCCGAAGCCTTTGGTCTGCGGCGTACCAGAGAGGTGAGAAGAGGAAGGGAGAGGGGAACACGAACAGGGAGAGGGGAAAACGAACAGGGAGAGGGGAACACGAACAGGGGAGAGGGGAACACGAACAGGGAGAGGGAGGTGAGGTGGGTGAAGGGGTAACAGTAAGACGCACTTTGTCCTACCCTACCCTCTGCCTGTTTCAACTGCTGCCTGCACACACAAACGTTTTGTCTTGCTTCTTTCACACCCTTACCTTACTCCCATTGCATGCCTCTTACCTTCCTCCTCTCCCCCCCCCCCCCAGGACCTCACATGAATTCTGATGGCAGCAGTTGTAAATGATTCGGGCGAATTTCAAGGTGCCTCAAGAGCCGTATTCACCCTTCCTTCCCCTACTCCCTTCCTCCACTCCCCTCCAGGCACTCATATCAGTGCTGATGACACCAGTTGTAGATGACACAGACGATCCTCCCGGCGTCTCAACGCAATAGTCAGAATGACCCTTCCTTCCGCCACGGCCTGTCGCGCCGTCGTTCCGCCGCGTCCATGCAGGCGCTCCGATCAGTGCTCGCGGCACCACATGCACACCACACAGGTGCAGCAGGAGGGGGGGACCGAGCAGGAGCAGGAGGAGGGGGACGGGGAGGGGAGAGGGCGTCAAGGAAGGCCACACCAGTGCTGCTGCAGGCGCTTGCATGCCGCCTGCTGCTGCGCGCCTTTGCTGCTCGCCCTCGCTGGCCCTTCGCCTTCCTAGAGGTAAGCTTCCCTGCTGAGTGAGCTTTACAGTTTACATACAGTTTACAGCTTCCACTGGCCCCTTGCGTTTACAGTTTACATACATGGTCGCCCCACTGGCCTGCTTGCCTCCCTCCCTCCTCCCGTCTCCCCCTCAACCTCCATCCTCCCTGTGCCCCTCCTCTGCCCTCCCCTCTGTCGATTTCCTTTTTCCCAGGCCTATCTCAGCGATGCCTTGTGGCCCACGTCACTGGGTGGACCTGGATACATGCAGGGACTTTGTCTCTGCCGTCTCTGCCTGCCTCACTCCCTTGTTAGCAGCATCTCAAAACCCCTGTCCCCCTGCCTGCCCTTCTTTCCCCTATCCTCTCAGGCCTATCTCAGCGATGCGTGTGGCCCACGGCACTGGGTGGACCTGGATACATGCAGGGACTTCGTCTCGGCCATCTCTGCCTGCCTGCCTGCCTTTTCCCCTCTCTTGCTCACAACCTCCTCTCTTTCCCTCCGTCCCTCCCCTGCCTTGCCAGGCCTATCTCAGCGATGCCTGTGGCCCGCGGCACTGGGTAGACCTGGACACCTGCAGGGACTTTGTCTCGGCCATCTCTGCCTGCCTGCCTCACTCCCTCGTCGCTCCCCCGCCTGCCCTGCTCCGCCCTCCTGCTGCCGCCCCACCTGCTGCTGCTGCTCGTGCTGCCACTGCTGCTGGTCCTGGTGGTGGTGCTGCTTCTAGGATTTCGGCTGCAGCAGCATCAGCGTCTGCTGCAGCTGATTCGGCAGACTCCGGGGGGAGAGGGGTGAAGGGGAGGGCAGGAGCAGGGGGCCCTCCTCGCTCCCCTGCTGTCAGCACCAGCAGCGTTGGCGGGGGGAGCGTGAGCGGTGGTGCTGCTGCGAAGAAAGGGGTGAGTGGATAGAGAGACTGGCAGATGAGCAGAGGGATGCAAATCCTGAGGACAGGGTCAATGGGGGAGCCTGGGGGTGCGGTGCCTGCGGGTGTGGGGATGCCTTTTATCCCTCATTCTCCTCTTACACCTATTCCACATCTCCCCCTCCTCTCTCGATCTCTCCCCTTTCCAATCTGCTCCAGGCGTCAGACACTGCCACGTCATCAGAGAGGCTCGGAAGCGCCGGCCTGGATCGGTTTGGAGGTTCGGAAACCGAAGCTGAGATAGAGCGGCTGTTTGTGGGCAGCATTCAGCGGATGGTCAGCTCCGGCAGCAGCCGGGAGAATCCAAGGCACCTCATCAGGTGTGTGGGTGGCAGGCATGGGATAGGGTCGGATATCAAGGGGTGGACAACAGGTAGGCAGCAGCACTCAGACGGTCAGCTCCGGCAGCAGCAGAGAAAATCTGAGGCACCTCATCAGGTGAGGGGGGTAGCAATGAATGGGAGATAGCGGGAACAATCCCTTTGCATCTCATTTATCCACCAACGCGTGTTCCTTTCCCTCCCCCTTTCCCGCCAGGCTGCTGGTGCTGGGGGCGGGGTACCCGCTGGTGAGAGTGCAGGTGGCGTCTCTCCTTCCACCCTGGCTCTCCTCCACTGTGCACGCCCGCTCTGCTCGCCTGCTGCTCCAGCCTCACTCAGCAACACGTCTTTCCCCATTCCTATCACTACCTTCTCCCCCCCCACTCTTTGTACTCCAGGCTGCTGGTGCTGGAGGCGGGGTACCCCCTGGTGAGAGTGCAAGCAGCCTCTCTCCTCCCCCCATGGCTCTCCTCCACCGTGCACGCCCGCTCTGCCCGCCTACTTCCCCAGCCCCACCAACAACACGTCTTTCCCCTCCCCTCTTCCTTCCCTCGCCCTTCCCTCGCCTTCCCCTGTCATCTCTACTACCCCAGGTTGCTTGTGCTGGGGGCGGGGTATCCTCTAGTGAGAGTGCAAGCAGCTTCTCTGCTCCCACCCTGGCTCTCCTCTACCGTGCATGCCCGCTCTGCCCGCCTGCTGCCCCATTCCCTTTCTCCCTCTCTCCCCTCTCTCTTCCCATCTCGCTGCCAGGCTGCTGGTGCTGGGTGCGGGATACCCTCTAGTGAGAGTGCAAGCGGCCTCTCTCCTCCCACCCTGGCTCTCCTCCACTGTGCACGCCCGCTCTGCCCGCCTGCTGCTGGAGCGAGTGATAGCTCTCACACGTGGCACCACCGCTGCTGACTGGCGCACATTAGAGCACCTGCTGAGCATCAAGGTGAGCGTGTGGTGCGAGTGGGCTGGCAATTTTGTTAAGGTTGCAGCGAGTGGTGGCGCTCATTCGCGGTACCACTGCTGCTGACTGGCGCACCCTGGAGTATCTGCTCAGCATTAAGGTGAGTTGCTCATGTGACTGACTGCACCAAACCTTTCACTGTGAGGCGAGTCGACGCTGCCCAGGGGGGCTGTGAGGCGAGTCGACGCTGCCCAGGGGGGCTGTGAGGCGAGTCGACGCTGCCCAGGGGGGCTGTGAGGCGAGTCGACGCTGCCGCAAAGGGGGGCTGTGAGTGAGGGGAGTCGACGCGTGAGAGCGTGCATGCAACGTATGGTGCAGCAAATGAGCGGGCGGTCCAGCTTATGAGCGGGCGGTGCAGCAAATGAGCGGGCGGTGCAGCGTATGAGCTGGCGGTGCAGCAAATGAGCGGGCGGTGCAGCGTATGAGCGGGCGGTGCAGCAAATGAGCGGGCGGTGTAGCAAATGAGCGGGCGGTGCAGCGTATGAGCAGGCGGTGCAGCGTATGAGCGGGCGGTGCAGCGTATGGAAATAGTGGCGCAACTCGTCAACAACTCCCCTCACACGCACCTTTTACGCCCCTCACACGCACCTCCCCTCACATGCCATGTGTGTACAGGCAAAGGGGTCGCAGCACGGGAGGCAGCACATTGCCGATGGAGATAGTGGCTTAAATCGTCAACATTCGTCCTGAATACGCTGCCTTTGTCATCAAGGTGACTTCGCCATTCCATGCCTTGCCATTGTATGCCAGTGCATGCCATGCCACTCTCTAGGTCATTTCCTGCCATGTCGCATGCCCTCCTGTCTGGGAGGGGGGGAGTTTTCAGGCCGACAGGCTTGAGGAAACAGTCCTTGAGGAAACAGTCCCTGAGGAAACAGTCCCTGAGGAAACAGTCCCTGAGGAAACAGTCCCTGAGGAAACAGTCCCTGAGGAAACAGTCCCCGAGGAAACAGTCCCTGCGGAAACAGTCCCTGAGGAAACATTCCTTGAGGAAACAGTCCCCGAGGAAACAGTCCCTGAGGAAACAGTCCCCGAGGAAACAGTCCCTGAGGAAACAGTCCCTGAGGAAACAGTCCCCGAGGAAACAGTCCTTGAGGAAACAGTCCCTGAGGAAACAGTCCCCGAGGAAACAGTCCCCGAGGAAACAGTCCCTGAGGAAACAGTCCCCGAGGAAACAGTCCCTGAGGAAACAGTCCCTGAGGAAACAGTCCTCGAGGAAACAGTCCCTGAGGAAACAGTCCCCGAGGAAACAGTCCTTGAGGAAACAGTCCCCGAGGAAACAGTCCCCGAGGAAACAGTCCCTGAGGAAACAGTCCCTGAGGAAACAGTCCCTGAGGAAACAGTCCCCGAGGAAACAGTCCCTGAGGAAACAGTCTCTGAGGAAACAGTCCCTGAGGAAACAGTCCCTGAGGAAACAGTCCCTGAGGAAAAACCGTTCTTGAATGCATGTGAAATAACACCCCTTCCACTCCTTCTGTTCCCTTTCACAATTGATCCCCTCTTTTGCCTTTCGCGTGGCCCTCTCTCATCTCTTGCAGACCCTTTTTATGTGGGAGATTCGAGGAGTCGCCTCACCACATGCGAGTGCTCGCAGCAGCAGTCAGAGCGATGGTTGCAGGGAAGGGGGAGGGGACGGAGATTCTTTCATGCACCTCACATTACACCGCTTACACTCCTTCTGTTTCTTTTCTCGTGTCCCTCTCTTATCCCTTCCAGACCTTCTGCTGTGGGAGATTCGAAAGGAGTCACCCCACCACATGCGAGTGCTGGCAGCAGCAGTCAGGGCCATGGCTGGGGGAGAAGGGGAGGGCACGAAGATTGCTTCATGTACCTCACATGCCACTCCGTCTGCTCCCTCTCTCATCCCTCCCAGACCCTTCTGCTGTGGGAGGTTCGAAAGGAGTCACCCCATCACATGCGAGTGCTGGCAGCAGCAGTCAGAGCGATGACTGGGGGGGAAGGGGAGGGGACGGATGGTGCTGGAGCAGGGAGGGAGAGGAGGAGGGAAGGGAAGGGAGGAGGCGAGGGCAGGGAAGGGAAGGGAGGGAAGGGGAGGGAAAGGAAGAGGAGTGATGGGGTGGGGGTGGAAGATAAAGCAGGGGCGGATGGGAGGGAGAAGGGGGAAGGGAAAGAGAAGGTGGAGGGGAAAGAGAAGGGAGAGGGTAAAAGGGGGACGGAGGGGAGGGAGAGGACATGGAAAGTGTATCCTGAGGTTGAGATTGGAAGAGTGCTGCAGGTGAGATCAAAACTCCTTTCTCTTTTTCCCACTTTTTGCTGTTTAGGGTTCTTTTCAAACTCCCCTGCACTACATCAGGAGGTCTGAACCCACCGTCTCACGTGATAAAACGTCTCAAAACTGAACCCACGTTCTCTACTGAACCCCTCCCCTCCCCCCCTTCCTCCTTCCCTCCTTGCCTACTCCGCTCTCCCTTGCCGCACTTTTTTCTCTTGCTCCCCTCCTCTGCACGTTCTCAGTGAATCCAATGCTCAACACACATTCCCATCTTTCTTTGTCTCACAATTCTCCTTGCCTTTTCCAACTCCTCTCCCCTTTCCCCACTTTTTCTCTCTCCCCCCATTCTTTCTCTTCTCTCATCCTCTGTCCGCCATCAGGAGTTCTCAGTGGATCCGACACTCAACCCGCACCTCCCATCCCTCTTGTCTCAAGAATCCCTTCCCTCACGTTTCACTACCTTCCCTTCCCTCACGTTTCACTACCTTCCCTTCTCCTCTCTTCCCCCCTCCTCTGTCCGCCATCAGGAGTTCTCAGTGGATCCAACGCTCAACCCGCACCTCCCAGCCCTCGCAACCAAGTAAGCTTCACCGGACACTCGTTTGTCTGCGTTCCCAACCACATTGTTGCTTTGTCCCTCCACTTATGTCGCCACCCCTTTCATCCCTTGCCACCCCTTCCATCCCTTGCCACTCCCACCATCAGCCGCCAGACCACATGCATGCAGACTTGCCTTTCACTCACCGCGCTCCACCTGTGTCTCCAGCTCTTCCATCCCTTGCCACTCGCAGCCTTAGCCGTGCAAGAGCAAGTCACCTCCCTCTTTCTCACTGCCCCTTTCCCCTGCCTCATGCCCTCTCCTTCCTCCCCCTCCCCCTCCCTGCTCCAGGCTCCTGCGTGCTCTCGCTGGTCTCATAAAGCCCCTCCACCTGTGTCGCCAGCTCTTCCACCCCTTGCCACTCGCAGCCTCAGCGCTGCCAGAGAGCCACCTCGTGCCGGCTTACTGTCGCCTTGCATCGCTCGTCCGCACTCTGCTGCTGCTTCACCTCTCTGCTGCCGCTGCTGCTGGTTCTGCCGCTTATGGTGCTGCTGGTGCTGCTGCTGGTGCTGCTGCTGGTGCTGCTGCTGGTGCTGCTGCTGGTGCTGCTGCTGGTGTTGCTGCTGGTGTTGCTGCTTCTGGTGGTGCCGCCGCTGCTGCTGGTGAATCCGCGTTTGCTCATGGACAAGGGCATGCGTACAGGGATGGGGAAGGGGAGGAAGGGAAAAGGGAGGGACAGAGGGGAGGGGAGCGGGGGGGTGAAGCGGGGGAGCAGAGCGAGAAGTTGACCAAGGCTCTCTTTGACGCAGCTTGTGTGCAGGTATGCAGGCGCAACCCATGCATGCCCTGTATCTGTGTGTGCACTTGTGCGCGCCTGTGTGAACTTGTCGGCATGAGCAGATAATATTTTTCAGTCTGGTCTGGTTCAAGGCGAACCGGTTCACGTGCGAGCCAAGCTTTTCCTGCTGATTCGAGCCGAACCGGCTCGACCGGGAGTGCGTGTGCTTGCATGTGCGTGTGTTCTTGACGCTTCCCCCATTATCTCCTCCCACCCCATCTCCCTATCCCCTCCCCGTTGCTGCCTCTCCCTCCCTGCCCCCCTCCCCCAACAGACGGAGGCAGTGACCTGGTGTGCCACAGTGGTCGCAGCAGACTGCAGCACCCTCTGCCCCTCGCACCCGCTGAACCTCCCTTCAAGAGGCTGCCTTTGCGCACCTTCCTCCCTTCACTATCCCCTCCTGTGCTGTCCCTCCCCTCCCTGCCCCTCTGTCTCCCCCCCCACAGACCGAGGCAGTGACCTGGTGTGCCACAGTGGTGGCAGCAGACTGCAGCATCCTCTGCCCCTCGCACCTGCCCTCTGCACCTGCCGCTCAGAAGCAGCAGCAACAGCAAGGAGTGAAGCAGGAAGAAGGAGAGGCAGTAGGAGCAGGGGCAGGGGCAAGGGAAGGGGCGATGGGTACGAGTCAAATGGTTGCGGAGGGCATGGGTGTGTCCATCTTCGATCTGCTGCGCTGTGTGCTCTTCTTTGACCCCATCCCGGTGAGCTCCTCTCAACCCAACGCACACTCATTTGGGCCCACTTAGGTGACTTTTGAGTTTTGAGTGCTGTGCGGGTGACTTTTGAGTTTTGAGTGCTGTGCGGGTGAGTTTTGAGCACCCATGCCCTCCACTCATTTGGGCCCACTTAGGTGACTTTTGAGTCAACTTAAACGTCCCCTCGATGGGTGCTGTGTGGATGGGTGCGGTGTGGAGGGCATGGGTGTGTCCATATGTGACCTGCTGCGCTGTGTGCTCTTTTGTGACCCCGTTCTGATGAGTTCCTCTCAAAATCACACACAGTCAGCTGAGACATTTTGGTGTGCTTTCTGCTCCAAGCCGAGCCAGGCAGCCAAGCCAGGCTCTGCACACGTTCCGTGCTCCTTGTCATGTGCTTGCTTCCTGTCGTGTCTTCTGCCTATCGTGCTTCAGGAAACTTCGTGGAAAGCGCCCAAGAGAGAGGAGGGCAGTGCAGGGCCAAGGGATGGTGGAGAGGAAGGGGGGACGGTTGGTGGAGGGGACGTGGAGGAAACGGAGGAGGAGGAGGGGGTGAGAGTGGTGGAGACGTGGGGATTGCCAGTGCTGGAAGAAACTCTAGCGCGAGTCATCCTGTTGGGAATATCTGTGAGTCCCTTGTGCCGCCTGTCCGCTGTAGGGGCGTTATGACAATGCTCAGTGTTGCCGGCGCTGGAGATTTTACCTTGTGTCATTTTGCTGGGCACACCTGAAGAATTTGACTGATGCTCAACTTGATCCAGGGACAAGGAACTGGGACGGGAACTAACCCTTACCTTATCACTACCCCCCCACACATCCCAACCTCCCAGTCCCCAGGCCCGGGTCAAGATGCGGCCATGCAAATGCTGCTGCACTTGCTGGTGCGAGCTGCTACAGTGCCCTCCCTCTGGGCGGGAAGGCTTGTCGTTTCTGGCCCTCAGGTTGGTACTTGTAACCCCACTGCAACTCTCAGATTCTCTTTCTCCTCCTTGTAGCACTCTCCTTTTTCAGAACATTTTCCCTCATTGAAAACATTCCTTCTTCAGAACTCTTCTCCTCATCAGCACTCTTTCCTCTGTCCTGCCTCTCCCTGGTTCCCCCACACCCCCTTCTCCCCCTCATCCCCTTCTCCGCAACTCCCCTTCCCTTACCCAACCACCTGTCAACAGCAACCATCGCGCTTCAGCTCACAGTCACACAAACACCTCCTTCCGAATAACCCCCCCTCTTCCAACCCCCTAAACGTCTTCACCCTCCCAAAACCCCTTTTCCCTCCCGACCAACCCCCCTCCACACTCTCCCCCCCCCCTTCCCCCTCTCCAGCTCTCAGCAGCAATTTTCAAGCTTGCATCAGTGATGCTCCCGCGCCCTCTCCTCGCCCTCCACTCCCATTCACCCCCCTAACCTGCGCACTCTTTGCCTACCCCGCTTTCCCCCCCCTCCCCCTCCCCCCTCTCCCCCTCTCCAGCTCTCAGCAGCGATTTTCAAGCTTGCATCAGTGGTCCTCCCACGGCCTCTCCTCGCCCTCCACCCCCCACCACCCAAGCTGCTCGCTGCTCGCCGCTTCTGGCAGGCCTGCTGTGCCGCCGTCCTCATCACTGCCCTCTCCGCCTCGCCCCCCTCCCCGCCCTCTCCTCTGCCTCCCTCTCATCACCCTTCCTCTGCTCCTCCTCCTCCTGCTGCGCCCTCTTCAAGTGGCGGCAGTGGCACTGGTGGCTGCTTCCCATCGTGCCAGTCACCAACGGTGCAGCGCATGCTCGAAGCACTCTTCATGCACCATGTGCCATCTGTGTAAGTGGGTCATATGGGCACTGTTCATGTGCCATCGGTGTAAGCGGTTCATCAGGGCACTGTTTAGTCCATGCATGCATGAGCTGTTGGTGTGCCAGTCACCTACAGTGCAGCGCATGCAAGAAGCACTCTTCATGCACCACCATCCGTGCAAGGCACTGTTTATGTGGCAGCTGTGATAGCCATTCATTCTTACTGTCCATGTGCCAACCGTGTAAGCGACAGTAAAGAAAAAAAAAATGGTACAAAAATGTATTTGAGACTTCACAAGCGTCGCACAAGTGCAAACCTCCCTCATTTATTCCCTCCACTCCCTTCCCTTCACCTGCCTTGGCAGCACCGAATCACAGCATGCCACGTGGCAGAGGCAAGCCGAGCAGGACACCCAGGCCTCAGCCCTCCTGCGTCGTCTGCTCTCCTCCTCCCCACCGCCTCCCATCAAGCAAGAATGGCACGAAACTGCTGGTCTGGGATCAGGCGCAGCAGCAGCAGGGGAAGCAGAGGGTGGGGGCAACAGGGCGGGGGCAGCAGCAGCAACAGGAGGCTTGGCGGAGGTGCCTGCATGGCTGGAGGCGGAGATGGGGGAGGAGCTGCTGCTGCAGGAGGGGGAGGGGGAGGGGGAGGGCGCGGGGGAACGGGGAAGCGGGAGGCAGGGAGAGGCAGGGGAAAGAAGGCTCAGGGGTGGGTGCGGGCGCCGGGGGGGGCGCGGGGATGGGGGCAGGGGTGGGGGAGGGGCAAGGGCGGATGGGGCGGTATGTGCCGGAGGAGGTATGGGGGGTGGTGTGGGAGTGGGACAGGCAGTTTGGGCTGGGGCGGCTGTTGAGGCAAGCCTTTGGCGCGTCTGCTCTGGAAGGGCTCATACGCGCACAGGTGAGCGAGCGAGGGGGGAAAGAGGGGCTGGGGTGGGGGAAGGGCAAGGGCGGATGGGGCAGTATGTGCCGGAGGAGGTGTGGTGTGGGGGGTGGCGTGGGAGTGGGACAGGCAGTTTGGGCTGGGGCGGCTGCTGAGGCAAGCCTTTGGCGCGTCTGCTCTGGAAGGGCTCATACGCGCACAGGTGAGCGAGGGGACGTTTTCTTTTGAGAAATTATAAGAGGTGACTTTTGAGGCACGATTTTCGTGCCTCTGCTCTGGATGGGCTTATACACACACAGGTGAGGGCCCACTCCCCTCTCGCCTCTCCCCTCCCACCACCCACTTCCTCTCCCCCCTACATTCACACAGCCGGTTCGCTCTCTTTCCCTCCACCCTGCCACCCCTACCAGGGTGGAGTGGCGGCCTCCTGGTCATGGCTGCACGGCTTCCTCTCGAGCAACCCGGCAGTGGTGGCTCATCTGGCCCCCACCAATCAGTGCGCCATACTCTACCAGCAGTGGCGCTGGGAGGATGCGTCCCTTCCCCACTCCGCCCCTCCGCCTCTCTCCCCCTCCCACACGCGAAGCACGGTACAGTTGCTGCAAGCCGCTGTTGCGAGGGAGGTGAGGGAAAGAGGAAAGGCCGATGGGGCAATACACGAAGGGGGGAGAGAGAGAGCCGAGGCAGAGGAGGCAGCAGGAGGAAGAGCCGGGGGGGGTGAATCAACCAAGGGAGGTGCAGTGGTGGGTATCGTGGGGTTGCTTGCAGGCAAGCTGGCCTCTCGGGTTGAGTCCAAACGCGCGAGCAGCAGACGGTGCTTGGCTGCTATCTTCTCCCCTGACCTGCTGCTGCTGCTGGCCCCGGAATCAGCAGGAGAAGCAGAAGCAGCAGCAGCAGCAGGAGCAGCACCAGCAGCAGTTGCAGCAAAATTGGAACCTGCTGCAGCCTTACCAGCAGAAGGAGCACTAGTGAAGAATTCAGGGGGTGGGCTTTATGTGGGATGGCTGGAGGTGATAAACCAGCTGCCCATGGCATGGGATGCTGCGCGCCTGCTGCTGCCTGCAGTGTGCCGTGCTGTGATGCGAGAAACTCACACCCCCACGGTGAGAAGCACACATCCCCACGGTGAGAAACACACATCCCCTCTTTCATTTGAAGGATGTAAGGGTGTTTTGTTATGCTGCTAGGCTGCTGCTGCTGCTGCTGCTAGCAGTGTGCTGTGCTGTGCTGTGACGAGCAGAACACGCTTTCCCACTGTGTGTTTTCTCATGACTTCACCTGACCACCGGTCTATAGGAAGGTCTTTTTGCATACACATTGTACCCTGCACTAATTCCCGCCCATCTTCCTTGCTGCTCCTTGTGCCAGATTGTTGCTTACATATCTTACCTGCACTTCTGGTACTGCCGCCTAACACCCTTTCCCTTCTCTAACCCCCACCCATTCTCCATGCTGCTCCTTGTGCCAGATTCTTGCCTACATATCTTACCTGCACTTCTGGTACCGCCAGCAGCAGAGCAACCAAGCTTGCAGGCAGCAACAGGGAGAGGCGACGAGTGTTGGCAGTGGGGAGGTGGAGGAGAAGCGAGGGGATCGGAAGGTGGGGGTGAGTGAAAAGATGGGGGAGGAGGAGGTGCGCGAGAAGGGAGAAGAGGAGGAGAAAGGGAAGGGGGGAGAGGAGGGAAAAGAGGAGGGAGAGGAGGGAAAAGAGGAAGTAGAGAGAAAAGAGAAGGGAGAGGAGGAAAACGAGAAGGGAGAAAGTGAGGGAAAGGAGAAGGGAGGGGGTGCGAAAGGAGGGGAGGAGGGAGGGGATGGTGGAAGAGAGGAGAAAGGAGGGGAGGAGGTGGACGAAGAGCATGAGCGTGAGAAGGAGAGTGCGAAGGAGAGTGAGAAGGAGAGTGCGAAGGAGAGTGAGAAGGAGAGTGCGAAGGAGAGTGAGAAGGAGGGTGAGAAGGAGGGTGAGAAGGAGAGTGCGAAGGAGAGTGAGAAGGAGGGTGAGAAGGAGAGTGAGAAGGAGAGTGAGAAGGAGGGTGAGAAGGAGGGTGAGAAGGAGGGTGAGAAGGAGGGTGAGGAGGGTGAGGAGGAAGGTGAGAAGGAAGGTGAGGGGGCGAAGCAGCGGGTAGGCACAAGGGTTGAGGAGCAAGCAACCACCCAACCACCAGCTGCTCGTGCTCCGCTCGTTGCCACCCCTCCCCCCGTCTCGTCACCTTTTGAGGCGCCTCAAAAGAAAGCAACCACCCAACCACCAGCTGCTCGTGCTCCCCGTCTCCACGGGGCAGTTGCCTCCACCCCTCCCCCCGTCTCTTCACCTCACTCTCTCGGATCCTCAGCCCTCCCCCTTCCCCCGCTCAATCTCCCCCTCCTCTTGGCGCGTCTCATCCGCACCCGCCCCCTCCTGGCGCGCCAGCTGCTCTCCCCCCTCCCCCCACTCCTCCCCCTTCCGCCCACCCAACCCCTCCCGCCCCTCCTCCCCATTTCGGGAGATGGGGGAAGGGCAAGGGAGAAGGGTGGAGAAGGGGGAAGGGCAGAAGGGGCGGAAGAGAATGCAGTGGGTGTGATGGGGGGAAGAGATGGCGGAAGGAGAGAGGACGAAGATGTGGAGATGGCAGATGCTGGGGGTGAGGGAAGTGAGGGCGATGTTGGGGAGATGGGTGAAAGGAGCATAAAAGGAGGAGGAGGCGAAGAGGGAAAGCAGAGGGCGGGGGAGGAGTTGGGGGGTAAGGGGAAGAAGGTGCAGAGTGAGGGGGAAGGGGAGAACGGGGAGGAGGAGGGGAAGGGGGGAACAAAAGGGGAAGATGGGGGGAAAGAGGAGGAGGAAGGGGAAGAGGCTTTAGAACGCCCTCCCTGGTCGCCTGTGGGGAGCCATGGGGAGGATGGGGTTGAAGGGGGGAATGGGGGGGATGAGGGGGAAGAGATGGAGGAAGGAGAGAGGGAAGGTGGGCAGGAGACGGGGGAGAAGAGGGATGGGGAGGGTGGGGTGGGAGATGGAGCAGAGGCAATGAAAGTGGAAGGAGAGGCAGAAGGGGGAGGTGGGGATGGTGGGGATGGTGGGGGCAGTGAGGATAAGGGTGAAGTTAATGCTGCTGTTTCTGCTGGTGCTGCCTGTGATGTTGCTGCTGCGGGGGAGGGGATGCAGGTGGACGGGAGGAGAGAGGGTGGAGAGGAGGAGAAGATGGAGGAGAGGGCAGGCGAGATGGATGGTGAGAGGCAGAGAGGAGGGGAGGGAGACGAGGGTGTGGGGTCATGGCATGTGGTGTGTGTGCTCTGTGATTTGCTGCGAGAGGCTCTGGAGGGAGGGATTTCAGGGGGGATGAGGGAGGAGATGAGGGATGGGATGGGGAAGGATATGGGAACGGGGATGGGAGCGGGGGTATGGGGGCGGATAAGGGAGGGAAGGAGGGCTGACGGTGAGGAGAGGGTTCTCTTCGCCCCCGCTGCTGCTGCGCTCACAGACGGCACAGATGCATCTGCTGCACTCCGTCCTGCCACTCCTGGGCTTGTCCTTGTTCCCCTGGTGGTGGTGCGGGCAGACGGCACAGATGCATCTGCTGCACTCCGTCCTGCCACTCCTGGGCTTGTCCTTGTTCCCCTGGTGGTGGTGCGGGCAGCTGTGGACGTGCTCTTGCTGCTCTCCTCCCTCCCTGCTCTCTCATTACCCCCCACCACAACAACGGCTCTCCCTGCTCCTCCTGCTGCTCCCAGCACGAGTGCTAACGCTCCTGCTCTGCCTCTCGCCTCCGACGCTGCAATGCTGCCAGGTGCAGTGCTGCAAGCAAGGAGCGCGTATCAATGGCTCAACCGACTGCTCTTCTTGGATCCTATCACTCCCGCCTCTGCTCTTGCTGCTGCTGCTGCTGCTGCTGCTGCTGCTGCTGCTGCTGCTGCTGCTGCTGCTGCTGCTGCTGCTTTGCCTCCGTCTGTAGCAACTGCAGCAGCAGCTTCAGCCTACTGCTGTTGGCGCATACAGCGCTGCCACTGACGGCTCGGATGCAGCTGTGACAGGTACTGCCTCCGCCAGGGTGTGGCGAGTCAAGTCTGTGGCGGGCAAGGGAGGGGCGGGTAGGGCTTTGCAGGGAGGTGTGGGGGTAGCTGAGGAAGGGGAGATGGCGGAGCGAGGGGAGGAGATGGTGGGAATAGGAGAGGAGGTGTGCCTTGTAACGAAGGAGCAGGTGCTGCTGCTTGGTGAAGGATGGGGAGTGGAGGGGCAAGATGGTCGGGATAAAGTGGGCGAAGGAGATGGTATCGGTGGAGCAGGAGGACGAGATGGTATGGATGTGGATGGTGGAAAAGGGAAGACGAGTTAAGAGCTCACACAGAGAGCAGATGGCGGGGGATTAGGGGAAGGAGTAGAAGGAGGAGGATCAGAAGGAGGAATTGACGGAAGAGGAGTGGAGGCGATGGAAACAGGTGTGGAGGATACCGTGCGGCTGGCACCAACCACGCAAGACACAGAAGCAGCAGTAGTAGCAGAGGCAGCAGCAGCCAAAAAGAAAGAAGACGCAGCAGAGCCAGTGACAGCGGCAGAAGCAGAAGCAAGGGCAGGAGGAGGAGAAATAGCGGTTCAGCCAAGCGGTTTGGTGCTTTTGTTCCCATTCCCCCTCCCCACCCTCCTCTCTCTCCCTCTCGCTGCGTTCAAAACCCAGCTGCAACAGGCAGTGCAAGCAACCTTGCTGGGTGCAGGGAGGGGTGAGGTAGGAGCAGAACGGGAGGGAGAGAGTGAATTGGGTGTGGGCGTAGAGGGAACCAGGCCCGGCACTGGGAGGGAAGGAAGCTGGGGGAAGGAGGAGAGTGGAGCCGGTGTGTTGGCCTGGGAGGCTTGATGGGGGTGTTGGAAAGCATAGTAGGGCTGGAGGAGGGGGATGATGGGGAAAGGGCTGAAGAGGAAAAAGGGTTTGAAGTCGCAGCAGCAGGCGAGACGAGTGGGGCGGATGGGAGGGAGGCGGAAGCAGTGGGCAGTGGGGAAGAGGAGAAGCGTGGACAGCACAAGCAGGGCCACGCAGGGCAGTTGGGGCAGGAGGAGCAGGAGGAGCAGGAGGAGGAGACAGCAGAGCAAGATAACTTGCAGCGAGGCAAGGCGAATGGCACGCTCCCAACAGCAGAGGACGAGGCGAAGGCTGTAGCTGCTCTGGAAGCACTACTGCTGCTCGACCCCTCCGCTTCCCACCCCAGCTTCCGCTCCTTCCTCTCTCTCACCCACAGTCACAGCCACAGACAAAATCACAGTCAGACTCGCGGTCGCAATCACACTCGCTCCTTGTCTCGCTCTCCCCGCCTCCTCCTCCTCCCCCGCATGCTCCATGCCGCATATGCCGCCCTCTCTGAACCACGCGTGCCTGATGCTGCCGTTTTCAGTCTCGCCTCCTCTCTCTGCCAGCAAGGGGCGCTCTGCGACTTACCCTCAGTATTACAAGGGCACGGTTCGAAGTTACCTGTTGTAGAGGATGTGAGGGGGTTGGAAGGTGGGGATGAGGTGTGGAGTGTGTGGGCTGTTCGGGAGTCGGCGCAAGCAGCTCTCGGGTTCATTGCAAGTGCTCTAGAGAGAGGTGGGAGTTGTGATGATCAAATCAGCGAGATTGCTACGGTGCGATCTCAGCCGTCCGTTTTCGTTTTGACAATTAAGGAAGCAGCGGGGCTCGCTCAGATGGCTGCCACTGAGCTGGCAGCTTCTGATTGGCTGACTGGGCATGCCGTCTGTCAAAAGGAGGCGCCAAAGCAGCAAGCAGGGGGAAGCAGTGGAGATGGAGGAGGAATGTGGGGAGTGTGGAGAGGTGTGGGCTTTAGAGAGGGGGAAGGGGAGGTGGAGGAGGAGAGGGAGCAGGAGGAGGAGAGGAGGCGAGCGGATGAAAGGGAGGTGGTGCTGGTGCAGGTGTTGACAAGAGTAGGTGGCTTCCTGGAAGCTGCTGGTGCTTCTGATGGCAGTGGTTGGGATGCTGATGGTGGTGATGGTGATGGTAATGGTGGTAGCGGCAACCGTGCACGCCAGGCAATTGTGAATGAGCTGTGAGTGCTACTTCCTTCCTCCATAGATCTGTCGGCCCCAGAAAAGGAATCCATGGCTGATTTTTTCCTCTTGAATACGACCAGTCATGTCAACCCCCTTTTCTTTTCTTTTTTTTCTTTCTCCCTTGAGTTGAGTGATTCTCCTTTATTGCTCCTCCCTCTCACAATTTCTCAGGTGTCGACTCACTCAGCAGCAGCACAACCACCGGCAGCACAAACAAGACCAGCGTTTCATGGCAGAAGCTGCATGGAAGCTTCTCGCAGGCCTCTACTGCACAGCGCCAGACGCACTTTCCAGGCACCTTCCTGAGCCGCGGGCCGGTTGGAAGGGACGTGTGGCCTCCCGTGCTGTCCCTGAAAGATACGCCCGGGCATCTGAAACTCTATCCTCATTGGCCCGCACTCTCCAGCAGCTCGTTCAGTCCTGCCTGCCCGGACCTTCCTCCGGGCAGAAAAACGAATTGGGTGCCGATTTTTCGACAGGGGTGGGAGGGGAGGCAGTGGGTGGAGAGAAGGGGGAAGAGGGGGAGAGGGAGAGTGGAAGGAAGAGGAAGTTGAAGGAGGAAGAGGAGGCGGAGAGGGAGAAAGAGAAGGAGAGGGAGAGGGAGAGGAAGACTGCAAGCACGTTGTTGCATCTGCGTGGCATGGCAGTGGCTCATCCGATGCTTCTCGTTCCCTTGCTGCCCATGCTAGCCGCACAGCTGCAGGTGAGACCTTGTAAAGGTGAGAGGGAGAGGGAGAGGGAGAGGGAGAGGAAGACAGCGAGTACAGTGTTGTATCTGCGTGGCATGGCGGTGGCTCATCCGATGCTTCTCCTTCGCTTGCTACCCATGCTAGCAGCACAGCTGCAGGTGAGTGCTGCTCATTTTTTTAGTAGTGTCAGAACAATTGTTTATCAACCAATGCTTCTCATTTCCTTATCAACCGCGGATTGTCTGTGCGTCCCGGTCTTTGGAACATCAACAGCAATACTCTCTCGCCTCTTCCCTCCCCCACTTCCCCTTTCTCTTCCCCACACTCCAGGACCTCATTCCTCTGGTGACCTGTTCGTCTCAGTCACTCAAGTCAGCAGCAGTCAACGCCTTCTCATCCGCCCTCGTGCTGCTCTCAGCCATCCAACCCTCACTGCTCGCACTCTACAATGGTCCCTCCCCCTCCACCACCACCACCACTGCCACCACCACTGCCACCGCCGGCGCCACCAGCAGCAGCAGCAGCGATGTATTGGCAGTGTGTGTGCAGCCATACTTGGACCTGCTGCTGACGCTGAGACTAAGAGACAAGCCCACTGTGGTGAGACTCGTGGCGCAGCTCTCTGACTTTCTCCTCCGCTGCTGCTCCCACTCTGCGGCTGCTGACATGCATGCACACGTGCACATGGGTATGCATGCGTCACATGGTGCCATGCATGCACAAGCGCACACGGCTCCACATGGTCCCATGCGTGCTGACACTCAGACGCATGAGACAGGCACAACAAATATCTCGCAACAAGCAGGCTCCCAACTCAGGAGCCTAGAGCTAGTGCGGGCACACAGGGGCGGGGCGTTGACGCACGCAGCAAAGCACTTTGGCAAGGTGAAGAAGCTGAAGCTGCTGCTGGCAACGCTGGATGCTGGAGGCAAACCCACTGTGGAAGGAGAAGGTGCAGGAGAGGAAGGGGACCAGTCGCTGGGGAAATGGTTGGACCTGAGGGCGAGGCTGGTTCGTGTGCTGCAAGGCTCAGCGAGTGGCGCTTGGGTTGGGGATGATTGGTGGCTGACAGGAGATGATGCCACTGCTGCTGCTGCTGCCTGCTGGCATCGCAGAAAGAAAAGCAGCAGGAGAGGGGGGCCATGTGGAAGCAGTGATGGGAGTGCTGCAGGAGGTAGAGTCATTAGCAACACAGCAACCAGCCAGACTATCCCTTCTCCAGCAGACACTCTGCATGGCTCTGCTCTGCTGCCCGTTCCCCCACTCTCCCTCTCTTGCCCCCTCCCTCGCTGCCGCTGGTGCCGGCAGTGTTGCACCTGCTGGGGTAATCGGGTTACCAGCAGCGGCTGCGGCTGGTGGAGGGGTGGAAGGGAAGGGGGATGGGGGCATGGTGGTGGATGCGGTGCTGAGGCTTCTAGAGCGAATGCTGCTGCATGCGTACAGGTGAGAGACAGGGTGCTTGCTCTCTGCTCTCCACCCTCTGTCCTCTGCTCTCGTGTCTACAGGTGAGAGACAGGGTGTTACCCCTCACTCCTGAATCTGCAGTTCCGAGTGTGCACAAGTAGCACTTGCATCACGCTCGTTTTCACAAGGCAGGCTGTCCCCGTCACGACCATTCCTCTCGTCGCCTGTACAGCCTGTCCGAAGCTTCTCACGCCTGGCTTCTCGTGCAACTTCAATGCTCCTAACCCTCCCTTATTTCCCGTCTCTTCTCTCCATCTCACTCGTCAACTCTCCTCCCCTCTCCTCCCCAATTCCCTCCTGCCCACCTCCTCCCATCCCCTCCCATGCAGTGCCTGTAACCTCTCCCTCGTCGCTTCTTCCCTCCTCCACCTCCTCCACTCCCTCTCCCTCCATCCCCAACCCCCCGTCCTGACGCTGCTCTCTTCCTACATGCCTCGCCTTCTCTGCCTCCTCCCAGGTATGAGAAGAAAAAAAGAAACGAGCAAACAAACAAGCCAGCACGCTCGTACCCATCATATGCACCCTCGAATCCTTTCATCCAAGCATCCGCCCCCACCCACCCGTACCATCCAATATAAATCTCCTTGCAACCTCAATTCTTGCATGCACCCATTCTTCCCCTCGCTCCCCCACTCCCAAACCCCAACCACCCCTCCGCCCTCTCACTACCCCCCAGCAGATCACAGGCAGCAGTTGCTAGATGCTCTCATGCACCTGCCGCCACACCACTCACTCCCTCCACCTCCACCCATCGGCATGGGCTTTAGCTGTGCCCCTTCCCACTCCCATGAGTCGCCACCCGAGCCTGGGAGGCTCGGCACTAGCACCACCAGCACTCCCCTCCGTGATTCCGATGACCCGCTGCTGTGTACAGTGCGCTCTATAGTGGCCGTAGAGTTGTGAAACTGTGGAACTGTGTGGAGCCGAGAAGCAACTAGAGGTGTATGTGGGTGCTGCAGTGCTCTGCTCCACACGATGCTTCGTAGCGCTGCATGGAGTAATGAAGCTTTGGAGTACATTACTCTTCTACAGTAGATTTAGAATTTGTGGAGGCGCTTCAGAATTTAGACCTGGCATAGCCAGGATGATCATAATGGTAGACGCATCCAAGCTGTCTTACCCCCCCTGAACATTTGTTTGGTTCTACAATAAAGTGCTATGAAAAGTGAATGTACAGATTCTCATATGGAGGATGTAGGTGGTTCGGTGAGAGAAAATGTTGCTGCTCATGACTGAGACCCCTCCTTCCAGCAGGGAGGTGTCCGCCATGCAGAAACGCTGTTGCTGCTCATGACTGAGATCCCTCCTGCTGCCTCAGCGTTTCAGTCCATTTGGGGACTCCTGCTGCCTCATCTGCTGCCTTCTGCTCCCTCAGCCTCTCCCTGAACTCCCTACTGGCCTTGAGATTCACCGTTCTGCGCTCCACTTTCTGCACGCAGCACACAAGGGACAGCGGGCGACAGGGAAGTTAAATTTGGTTCGACTCAAGGTTGAACTCCCTGCTGGCCTTGAGATTCACCGTTCTACGCTCCACTTTCTGCGCTCAACACGTGAGGGATAGCACGATACAGGGAAGTTTATCAGACAGACAAGAGAGGGAGATAAGAATGACCGGTGAGCCTGTGGTGCACACCAAAGAGGCACTAACCTGTCTCCGATCCGAAGAGACTTTAAAAGGATCCAGTGACCACCTAGCGTGCTTATGGGTCTCCGCTACACCTCAAGCAACCTTCTGAATGGAGAACATGGATGGTTGCTGTGCTGAGTACCAAGGCCCACATAACACATGCACGCAACCTTGGTATTGCAGCCTGCATGACTTTATTCCATTCTGCAAAATGGTGCTACCGTGATAATTACCTCTTGTCGGAAGCACGCGTCGAGCTCCACCTTAATGCCGTTGCACACGTTCCAGAACTTGGCAATGGGGTGCTCCTCGTGGCATCGCTTCAGCTTCTCGATCAGCTGCTAGAGGAAACGGTGGAACAGGCGAATTTGATGTAGGTTCATGACCAGGCGAATACGCAGAGATGCATGCTCTGAGCATGCCGATTCCATGTATTTTGTGAATCAAAACACTACGCCAGTCATGGGATAGCTTAAAGGTCAATCCCCTGACAAAACAATACACCCCATAGCTGAGGTTTCCCACTGTATGATGCTATTCATGTTCAATACAGACCCTCTCTCACCTCTGCGCATTTTGGGTGCTTCTCAACGGTCAATAAAGGGTGCATGTAGCCAGGATGCCTCAACCGCGCAGTGAAAGAACTACGGTGCTGAATTAGAAACTCAGAACAGCTTCTAAATCGTCAGTCAGTGAAGAGCGTAAGCACACGGCGGCCAATATAGAACCGAGACGCTGCAGGTACCGATTTGTATGTTACAGAAAGGAAATAGAATTCTACTATGGAGCCTTGGCAGCGAGCAGGAGAGCAGTGGACCTACGACGCGGACGCTGACTGCACAATAGATAATCACCGCAACTAAGACGCAGGTCGCATATGAACGGCTGATATGCTCAAACACCTGGCAAAATAGGCGGTAGAAGATCGTACGCGTTATAAGAACCGCATGTTCAGACACAAACTAGCTATCACAAGCACCTCTGGCCCTGAGCGGCAAGCTTCAGGCGAACCAACGAGCAAACCACGTCAGAAGATCCCTCAAAATCACACACATTCTGAAACATAAACTTGCTATACGTTTGGAATACAGCGATACCTATACACTTTGCGGATCAATATCTTATCTGAAATCATGCGTTTGGCGAATACAGCTCAAGCGCGGAAACATGTCTGTCACAGACGCGGTTTCTCTGGTCGCGCGGGAGCGGCTGGGGCAACTGCCACTGTGGATTGCTTCATCGAGATCATCCAGTCTTTGGGAAGTCTTTCGCGAAAATATTAGGAAGCTCGTCACCTCTTCGCCCTGTGAAACTTCTCTCGCACAATTGCATCATCGCAACAGCCTCAGGCACTTATTCAAAGATCCTATTCCACTTTGTGCGGCCATAACTGAAGCCTGTTGGTAGCACTGTACTGTACTGTAGATCGCCTCAGGAACTCCGTCAACTTGAAACAGCCATGGATGGTTGTCCTGCCTCGAGAATAGAGGCTATCTCACGACTTCCAACGTGCACGCAACAGCCTTTGATTCTGACCAGTTTTGGGAGGTTGAATGTTCCTAGACGTGTTCTAGACCTTTCTTAGGTTCCTTGACGCTGCGATCCTCCTTAGAGCTGGCTTTCCCTAATCTATCCTGACTCTTACAGCGGAATAGTTATTGGTATAGTCTAGAAGCGATAGCGACTCATTTCATGCTAACACTTTTCATGGCCATCGTCGTATAGACAGCACTGTCTAGCCATCTTAGGGTTTGTCTTTTTTTTTGTTGCATTAGCAGAGACTCGTCGTTATGGCAATGCTAAGCAGCTGGCAGGCCGACCCTCTCTTCCCGGCAGCGGAGGAGGTGCAGGATTAAGCAGACAGGTACGCTGATCGAGCCTTGTTGCACGCCTCGCTTGCATTTTCTCATACGCGGAGACATAAAGTCTCCGTCGCTCGCTACGTTCGTGGTGTATAATTCCAGGTCTGGTTTCTGTCTATCTTATTCTTCGAAAACAGTTTATCGGCCTCAATATCAGCGTTTTGTGGACGTTCAGTAATGCTTATACTTAGGCAGAAGCATTTCTCTCTCCTCTTCCTGCCGCGATGCGTAAGCAGGCTGCGATCCAGTTTCCACCAATGGCAACAGCTCGCGACGGCTGATACCACCGGGCCAGGAGGCGCCTGGTCAGCGAGGGTGGACGAGGAAGGCGTGAGGCTCGTGCTCTTGTCTGCGTGCGATACCTTGAAATGGCAGGTACGGACCGGACACATGCGTGCACGCACGTGCTCGTTTGCAACCTACACATTTTTGTGGCAATAAAGTTATGACTGATCGTAATTCGACCAACCGCCATCTTCCCGCCTCACTTTTTTTTGTGTTAATCAAGTGGCTCGATATGGCCTCCGTTCCCTCCTTTAACAATCTCGCTCCGCTCCTCCCCGTCCCCCTTCACCCCCCTGGAGCAGCTTCAAGAGTTTGAGCGCGCTGTGCACCGCGATGCCGCTTCCTCCACCGCGTCTCTCCGCCGCCCGGAGCGTGCGAGCGGGGGGCGACCCCAGGAGGCGCAGGCGCGGAGGCAGCAGTTCATATCCGCCATCCGCGCGCAGCTCGCGCAGGTGGATACCGCCGTCCGCCGATCGTCCTCGCCAAGAAAAGACACTCGGCCCACAGGTCCCGCGTATTTTCCAGGAAACGGTGTTCCTGCTGCGGATTCATCGCAGCCGTCGATGCTGCTATCATCCTTGTCGTCCAATTTTTTTGGCTCTGTGTCACGGGCCGTTAGCACCAGCACTCGCTACAACAGCAGCAACAACAACAGCAGCAGCTACGTCGGTAGAAGTGGTACCAGCAGCAGCAGCAACAACACCAACAGCAACAGCAGGGACCAGATTACGTCAGATCACTTAGTCAGTTTCCTCTCCGCCCCGTCTGCCCCTCCGCCCTCCGTCATTTCCCCGCAAGAGCTGCAACTGCGCCCGCTCGCTATAAGGAAACCCGATGTGCCCACACCTAACAGCTGGCGAGGGGCGGGTGATTGTAAGGGGCGTGAGTTCATGGGGGGGCTGCTACCGACAGCAGCGCCAGACCAGGGAGCGAGTAAAGCGGGGCACGGTGGGTCAGTGTGGGCCTCTGATGGAGACACTATAGGCAGGGAATGGAGGACGCGTTGCGAAGCGGGAGAGGGGAAAGGGCAGTGGAGGCAACAGCAGCAGGTACAGGGGCAAGAGCAAGAGCAGGAGCAGAATTGCGCATGGCGGGAAGCAGCAGTGGGCGCGCATTCTGTCAGCGGAACCAGAGCGGGTGGAAGTGAGAGTCGGGGTGGGTCAAGGCCACTAGTGACTGCTACAGGGGGGTTATCTGCAGCTTCTGCTGCTGTTGTTGCTGTGCCGTCCCATTTACTGCAGTGGTTGAACGCGGGTACTAACACCCCACCATCTGCTGCCTCAGTCGCAGGCAGATGGATGCAAGGCAGTCGAGTGGGTGGGGAGGGTCAAGAAGAGGAAGAGGAGGATGACGGTGGCATAGCATGTGTGGGGAAAAGGTGTGTTGACTACTTGTCTGAGAGCGAGGGGGAGCGGGACGATGTGGGCAGACCACCAGGCTGTGGCTGCAGTGAGAGTGTGTGTGGCTAGGGATGCTACAGCAGGAACGGGTGTGGGTCGGCGGAAAGGAGGCGGCTCGTTTTCATCCCTTCCCGCCGCTGCCTTGGCGGTGGCAGCAGCAGGATCCGCATCAGCAGCAGGAGCAACGGCAGCAGCTGATTACCCAACTTTGACCCATCCTCCACCGATGCAGCCACCAGCGTTAAACGTCACCCCACTGTCAGACCGTATATTGAACCCCCTAGCATGTGACGCGCCGCCCCAACCACACCCTCAGCACCAGCAGCTGCTCTCCCCAACCGCGCACCACCCCCTATTGCCTCCCCCCGCCGCATTACCCCGCCCTCCCCCACGCGGGGCCGTTCAATGGGTGGCGTTTCTGCTGCAGCAGTTCCAACAAGGGGTGGAGCGGGGCAGAGAGCAGAGCCAGGAGCAGGGGCGAGGGGAGAAGCACGTGTGCTGCCAGGCCTGTGGGAGGCACCACTGCGGCAGTGCTGGTGGGGTGGGGGGCAGTAGCGGCAAGTGCGCTGAGAGTGACAGTGATGGCGGGGGAGTGGCAGGAGCAGGGGAAGGTAGAGTAGGGGGAGGAGGTGCAGGAGGAGGGGGGGTATTAGCAGCAGGTCCGGAGTTGAAGCTAGGGAGCTTGTCATGTCTCACTGTTGCTGACCTGGAACTGGTGAGTTCGAATGATTGAATGATTGTGAGGTTCCTTGGAGCCAGTTCTTAACCGCTCTGTCATTCATGATACCACTTTTGTACAAAATCACTTTTTTTCGTTCTGGCTTATTGGTCTCCTTTGCTCACTCTTCAGCTCGTGCCCCCTGTCCGTACATCCCCTCCCCTCCATCCCCGCATCTTAGGGCCTTGCTCATTTCAATGCCTGCAACACCACCAACAACAGCAACAGCAGTAGTCGCTTCCGTCGCTTCCACTCCTTCTGGCCCGTAGCCTCCTCGCCGGCCCCTCCTCCCATGACCGAGGAAGACGACGAAGAAGCCCACCGCCGTGTGGTCGGGTGGCAGCTATCAGTCAAGCGCCGCCGTCCGTTACTGGGCGGCAGTAGCAACGCAAGCTGCAGCTCTGGTGTTACTGGCAGCAGTGCTGGTGGTGGTGCTGGTGGTGGCACTTGTAGCAGCAACGGTAATTCTGGGAGTTCATTGGGCAGTGGCGCTGGTGATGTGGGCTTGACAGCGCTACAGGTGGTGGCTGTGGTTGTGTGTACCTCAGTGGTGGTGTGTGTGTTGCTACTGCTGCTGCTGAAGCTTCACAGCTCATATGAAGGGGCGAGCTCCAGCGGCACTGGCACGGGCATGTCAAGCGAGTGAATGTAGTGGGAAGGAAAAGTAGAGTGACGGGCATCTCGATTTTGATCCTAGCACAGTTTTCCACATTTTTCACGTCATATGCTTCATTCATTCCCGTTCATTCAGTTTGTTCTCAGTGGTAGGCCTAGCACGATTGCAGAAATAATCCTAGAGCGTAAGCTTGGTCTGGTCCTAGATATATATTTTTTTCCATTAGCTGCCTTGATTCCGATGCTTTATATTCTGGCTTCTTTGTTTGACAGCAACCGCAACAGCGAGTCATCACAAACCCATTGAGTATCTCGCCTCTGTCACCCCAATCAGGGTAGCGAATCCCGTTCCATTTGGCAGCGCAGACTGTCGCCTGTCAGGGCCCCAATGACGTGCCACAGACGTGACCTGACGTCTTCAGGGTCACAGCTGTCACATCTTACAATGTATCCCGTTTTCCTTTCGTAAACCAGCTTCTATCAGAGACCGAGGAACTCACTATCGCGGTTACGTCAGCCTGAACCAAGATTGAAGGAACCATGTGAAATGTGCGAAGCCACATGTATTGCCCTCCGCTCTCGGTGCCATAGACTATCTCGGACTCACTACCGTGTTCTTCTCATTACTTTAGTCTCTGTACCTTCATCTTCTCGGTACCTGTAGACCGTTGGTTCGACCGAAGCATGGTACGCTTCTTCCTCCCGCCTCTGGATCACGAGGACGGCGACAGCGACGACGACGCAGCCGCTCTGATGAATGACGGTGCGGCGGAGAATAATGACGGAACGGCGGAGACGGTTGGGTTCCAGAAAGTCGTTAACGTTAGCGTCAACGGTAACGTTAACGACGGCAATGGCCGCGAAGCCGCAGACGATTCCCAAGCTGGTCGACCAGGCCACGATTCGGATAGCGTCAGTCACACGCAACCAGTCCGTTCCACGTCAGGCTCTTATCCCGTTGACGCAGCACGTTTCCCTGACGACGTATCGCGTGGCGGTGCGTCTCAGCCGTACGTTCGAGAATCTTCTGCTTCAGCGGGGAAAGAGATGCCGGCTGCGGGGGAAGAGAGGGGTGTTGGGGAAATTTGGAGGGAAGCAGCTGCTGGAGAGATAGATAGGGGGGGAGGTGGCGGAGCCAGAGGGGGGGAGGGCTGGGTACAGGAGGCGGGAGTGATGGCGGAAGGACGAGCGGCAGGTGTGGATGAGGGGGCTGGAAATGAGAGGAGGGAAGGAGGCGAGGAGGGGAGGGCAGCAGGTAATCCGGATGCAGCACAGACTGCAGAGCAGTGCACTCGAACTGGTGACGTCACTCGAGTTGGCAACTGTGCCCGACCAGAGGGAACGGCAAGGGATACAGAGGAAGCGAAGCCAGCAGAACCGTACGTTCGTGTGACAGGAGCAGAAGAAGAAGCAGCAGAAGAAGCAGGGGTGTTGGGTCCCAGGCACAGATTCACTGCAAGGCCCTTTGAATCTGGCTTGCGTGCTAGAGGGTTTCAGGGTTGGAAGAGTCGCAGCCGAGGCTTGGGCTTTGTGCGGTGCGGCAAGGCGGTGGGGAGCGCACAAGAGAGAATTATAACAGACGGGATAGTAACGGGGATGATCAGCCAAGCCAAGCCAGCAGGAGCGGGTGGTGGTAGGCATAGGAAAGGGGCGGATGCAGCGGGAAGGGGAAAGCAGAACGGCGGATGGGGTGCTTGCAAGGCTGGTGACTGCACTACTGACGCCTCTGGGAGTGCTGGTGAGGGCAATTTGCCTTGTTGCTCAAGTCAGAAGGAGCGTGCAGATTGTGATGACAGTTGTCCGGGGGATGAGACATTTCAGGGAGGTGCCGCGTGCCACAAAGATGACACCAGGTGTTTCAAAGACGACACGTGCCTCACAAGAGACGACAGTGGATGCGAACTAGACGACACATGGTCCGGCAGGAGGCAGGGCCGTGGGAGGCTTGGTGCTGACGTGGCGGTGAGTGAGTCAGCAGCGGATCAGCTGTGGGCGGCAGTGGAGGAGCTTTTGGAGTGCCCCGTCTGCTGCATGGAGCTGTCGGCTCCCATCTACCAGGTAACGTGTCATGTGCTACAACATAGCTCCTGTGACAATGCGTCATGTTCCATATTGGAGCCTGGATTTTTTTTAGATGTCTAGCATGTTGTGTTATGTGCCAGAATGTAGCCTGTATGATTTCTGGTGCCACAGCATCTGGTGCTGACGGTCTGCAACAACCAGAGCACAAGGCGCGATTCGCCTCAACTCCAACGTCTACTCCCTTTCAGCCTCATATGGCCAATCTCGGTCCTACCTACTCGCCTGCCCCGTGTTCAACCCGTCTTTAGCCTTCTCCACACCCTGTCCTCAAGTCTTTCCCCCAATCCGTTCCTCTTTGCGACTCATTTTCCCTATGTCCACCTGCCATTCCAACCCCCCTACATCACAGTGTCACAGGGGCCATGTGATCCGCTCCTCCTGCATCAGCCACCTGGCGCATCATTCCTGTGCGCCTTCCGAACCTGCACATGCTGCTGCTGCTGGTATTCGTCTTAGCGCCAACTCCACACGTGCTGCTGCTGCTGCTGCTGCTGCACCTTTTGCTCCTTCCACTGCGGCTGCTTCCGGGCCTGCTGCTGGTGTAGCTGCTCGTGACAGTGCCATGCCATCACATGCAGCAGTGTGCTGCCCCATGTGCCGAGACCCCATGGCCGTCCCGCACCCGGCATCAGATTGCCATGCAGGGGAAAAGGCTGCAGCAGACTGGAAAACTGGGACAGCAGCAGGCTTGGTCACAGGCGCAGCAGCAGCGGCACCACTGGCTGCTGCGTCACTAGGAGGGGCTGTGTCGCTGATACATGCTTCAAGCTCTCCTCTGTTTGCGCCAGGACGAGTTGGAATTGAAGGCAATCATTCTCATAGCAGTTATGTGAGCCTTAGGGGGCGAAATCTTGGCGTAGGTGGGTCGTGGAGGGACGGGCGCATTACCAGCAGGGCTGGGGGAACGGGTGGGTCGGCTGCAGGAGCTAATTCTCAAGCCCAGTCGTCGTGCCTTATCAGGAATCTTGCTCTTGAACAGCTCGCGTCTACAGTGGCAGCCTTGCGTACTGCACATGCTCGCCAGGCTTCACATGTACCTTAGAGTAAGGCCTTTTTCTGTACATAACATGTTTGCCGTAGAGTGTACGTCATATCGTAGTACAGCATGGTCCAGCTCATGGCATCTACACATGTGTGACCACCGTTCATTTCAAATTTGACTGATAAGAACATGGAATGTGCTTGACTAACAAATGGCAACATGTTTAGTAACATGTAAGGGCGTGCCACCCCGGACTAAAACAGGCTGTTCGATCGCCCAAATTCTCGGAATTAAGTCGTGTAGAGTACGTTAAATGAAGATTCGGTTTGGTTCAGTACGGTGCCTGCTCGAACAGGCCCGTTGGAACGTTATAAGTGACACACCCTAACCGAAGCGACTGGCACATTGTCACAAGGACTGTGCCATGATAATGTGTTGGCGATGGTAAGCTATAGGGGCAATAGTGTATCAACAAGTGTTTGTTTTCTTGGGTTCGAGGCACATGGATGTGTGTGGACGCATCATTGATATACTTATGCTCTGCTACATGCTATGAAGGTGAGATTTGTGAATATTAATTGGACACAATGATGGTATACCTGTCAGACAATTGACATACTACTTGAACGAACCAACATCCAATCTGTGACAGTTATATCCGGTTAGGATAATGCAAGCGTCAAAATCGAGGTGGGCACCTTGACAGAATATTTGTGCCGCAACAAGGGGAGCGCACGCATGCTGTTCGGCATTTTCATACGTGGACACTGCGCGGCAATCTTTCGGCCAATAAAAACCCGGATGTAGACGTGTCTGCGTCCAGCTCAGACGTGGAATCCCAAGGTATCTGGGCCAGCCACGAACCTCCTCTGGGCGCATGAAGAAGTGCCCCACCCCGAAATCAGGTGTGCTCCCCTGAAGTCCTTGCGCGGAGCATTTGTAGGCAGAAGCTTGTTCAGGTTCAGGGATCTTCAGACCAGTTGTAAGCAGTAGGAATTTTATATATTGTTTGGGTGTTTGGTTTAGGGGCTGGTCCTTCCAAGTTTGCCTTCGAAGTAGACACGCTTCTTGAGCAGAAGCCGCTGACCATGGAGGGTGCTGCTGCTGTCGTGACGGAGGTCTCTAAGCATGCTGTGGGATCCCTCCCTGATACGTTTTTGAATGTCTTTATCCCAGCAACTGCAGTTGTTGGCATTTTCTTCGCTATTTTCCAATGGTTCATGGTCTCTCGCATCCGTGTCGGCGGTGCTCCGGACGGCCAGTACGGACTTTTGGAAGATGGGACAGCAGACACTGTGCTCCAGCAGGTTTCTGAGATCCAGTCTGCTATCTCCATGGGTATGTGAATAAAATAACACCCGGCATGTATCCTTGACCACGAATGTTTTCCTTCGGAGCCGAAATTTGACGTTCTGATACTTTGCTTTCCGCAGGTGCTGAGTCCTTCTTGACCACGGAGTACAAGTACCTGGCCGTCTTCATGAGCGGATTTTCCGTGATCATCTTCCTCTTCCTCGGATCTGTCGACAACTTCGATAAGCAGGGTATCGCCAACGCTGGTTTCAGCACCTTGGCCTTCATCCTTGGGGCTCTGACCTCAACAGGATCCGGATACCTCGGCATGAAGATCGCTACATGTAAGTTTTTTTTTTCTATTTTCCCTGGTAACGGTATTTTCATCAGCTTGTCGATCACGGGTTATGTTTCAACTAATTTTCGTTGCAGATGCCAACGCGAGGACCACCTTGGAAGCCAGGAAAGGAATTCCTGCGGCATTTGTCGCTGCATTCCGCGCTGGATCGGTCATGGGTTTCCTCCTGTCGGCGAACGGACTGCTTGTGTTGTTCTTGACCATTCTCGCGTACAGGAAGTACTACGGCGATGACTGGGCCGGTCTTTACGAGTCCATCACAGGCTACGGTCTTGGTGGTTCATCTGTGGCCCTGTTTGGTCGTGTTGGCGGTGGCATTTACACCAAGGCTGCTGATGTCGGTGCGGATCTCGTGGGCAAGGATTGAGAGGAACATTCCCGAGGACGATCCCAGGAACCCTGCTGTAAGTACTACTATCAAGTGGTATTCTAGAATTTATATCTGAAACCTTGTGAATAATACTGATGCTTTTTCATCTGTACAGGTTATCGCTGACAACGTGGGAGACAATGTGGGTGACATTGCTGGCATGGGTTCTGACCTGTTCGGCTCTTTTGCCGAGTCGACCTGCGCGGCCCTTGTGATCTCGGCCCTGTCTCAGCCTGGGAAGGACCATGATTTCTCCGCCATGTGCTTCCCTCTTCTGGTCAGCGGTGCCGGTATTCTCGTGTGCCTGATCACCACCATCATCGCCACGGATATTCAGCAAGTGAAGGAGAAGGCTGAGATTGAGCCGGCATTGAAGAAGCAGCTGGTCATCTCCACTGTGCTGATGACTCCTGTGATCTTCCTCGTTGCGTTCTACGCTCTTCCGCCTACCTTCAAGATCACAGTTGTCGGACAGGGCGACAAGGTTGTTCAGAACTGGTGAGTCCGTCTCCGAAATTCGTTGCGCTTGCACTTGTGAATGGTATCATCGGCATTGCGCTAAACATTTCACCTTATCTTGTAGGTACGCATTCGCGTGCGTCGCATCGGGACTTTGGGCTGGGCTCCTTATCGGTTTCGTCACCGAGTACTTCACGAGCAATGCTTATGTGTAAGTGGGTGGTTTTGTGATTCCTTTCCTCTTTCCTTTTCCTAGCATCTCGTCAACCCCTCGAAGAATAATCTGCACTAAGCTAACACATGGAATAAGGTGAACGAATCACTGATTCAAGAGTCTCATCTGAACTCCAGGCCTGTTCAAGACGTTGCTGACTCTTGCCGTACTGGTGCGGCAACCAACATCATCTTTGGCCTTGCCCTTGGCTACAAGTCGGTTATTATTCCGGTGTTCGCTATTGCTGCTGCGATCTACGTGAGCTTCCAGTTCGCTGGCATGTACGGCATTGCCCTGGCTGCTCTTGGCATGCTGAGCACTCTTGCAACTGGTCTGGCCATTGATGCGTATGGGCCAATCAGTGACAATGCTGGTGGCATTGCTGAGATGGCGGGTATGGGTGAGGAGATCCGTGAGCGCACCGATGCTCTGGATGCTGCTGGAAACACCACTGCTGCTATTGGCAAGGTAACAAGTCATTTGCGTGGCATGTCTTTGTGTTGTGCTGTTTCCCTTTGGTGTCAATCTAAAGTAGCGTTTCTTGTTATCTACTTGCAGGGCTTTGCCATTGGTTCTGCTGCACTCGTGTCCCTTGCTCTGTTTGGAGCTTATGTCAGCCGGGCCAAGGTTAACGTGGTCAATGTTACTGAGCCCCAGGTATGCTTTTTCAAATTACTGCATTACTGTGAAGCACTTCCAGCCAGTTGTGTGGTGACTAAATCTTTACATGCATTCTCTGTTGGATGCAGGCCTTCGTCGGGCTCCTTGTTGGTGCTATGCTGCCCTACTGGTTCTCTGCCATGACCATGAAGAGTGTGGGCAAGGCTGCTCTTGCAATGGTGGAGGAGGTCCGTCGCCAGTTCAACACGATGCCCGGCCTGATGGAGGGAACCACGAAGCCAGACTACAAGAAGTGCGTGGAGATCTCAACTGCTGCCTCTCTGCGTGAGATGATTCCCCCTGGCGCGCTTGTGATGCTCAGCCCTGTGATTGCGGGAACCCTGTTTGGAACCACCACCCTGGCTGGCATGCTGGCGGGTGCGCTGGTGTCTGGCGTCCAGATTGCCATTTCTGCGTCCAACACTGGTGGTGCGTGGGACAATGCCAAGAAGTACATTGAGGCTGGAAACTCTGCTCATGCCAAGAGCCTTGGTCCCAAGGGCTCTGATCCCCACAAGGCTGCAGTTATTGGCGACACTGTTGGTGATCCGCTGAAGGACACATCAGGCCCGTCCCTGAACATTCTGATCAAGCTGATGGCTGTGGAGTCGCTGGTGTTTGCTCCCTTCTTTGCCACCCATGGCGGCATCATCTGGGGTGGCAAGTAGACAATTGAAGCATTAGCATTGTCAGTGCGTAGGATGTTTTGTTTGTGATGTGTAAGGATCATCGGTAATGACCTTGTGTTTGCTTTTGGCATCTTGCTGAGTTCATAAAGAAAAATATTTCAAATCTGAGGATACATACAGAAACCTGTGATTGAAGGAATGGTTTTTGAAATTATGATCTATCTCATAATGGGTTGTTTATACTACATTTTCGATGTTCTTACTAATGGATTGTTTATACTGGTACGTAAGATCATTTCATAATTCATTTTGATGAGGTTGATTTTTTTAGGGGAAAGATCATTTCAATAATAAAACGTACAAATCAACCCCATCAAATGAAAAATCTTCATGTAGCTCTTCCTTTCTAACTTTTCTCACAATCACAAATGTGGAAGGTAGCAAGCTCCAGAACTTGTCATGAGCTTCCTGTTGTCGTAGTCGGTAACCAAGCACCAGCGTCGTTTTCTTGTCACTTACTGCTGCCATTGTAGTTATCAACCTCTCGACATCTTCCTCTATGTACACCACATCAGTCACAATGACAAAGTCGAACGGAGGCTTGACTGAACAAATGTGCTTGTCATTGCCCCAGTACAGTTGCACAGGCTTGAGCTTTCCTGGTGCTGAAAACGATGATTTGTAAGCCTCGGATAGCGAGTTGAGGTTCCTCTTCAAATTCCGTTTCAGAATAGGGAGGACTGGCTGTATGTCTGTCGCAGTGACATCACAGCCAAGCAAGGCCATAGCCATTCCTGCGGCATGTGAAAAGGTGGGAAGGAAATCCGACTTAATTGCATGATTCGCAGTCGCGGCGAAGTGAGTAGGGGAAGACCCAAAGAACCATGAAAGACCACGAGCTTATTACCAGCTATGCCGCATCCCGCTCCAAGCTCGACCGCTCGTTTTCCAGCGACCTTCGAGCCTGAGAGCTCGCATTCGTCGTTTTCGAAATTCTTCTCTAGCCATTTTGCGAACACTAGTGAGGCCTCCCAGACGCTCGTCCCTACGTGCATAGATTCGTTATCCTGCACTATACTTAAGGGCTGACCCCATAACTGCAAATCCACAGTTCGCTCTGCCGAAAACCACATGAGCCTAGATAGTGTGAAAACTGTGCTGGAAAAGCTAAGGCACACAGCTCGAAATTGTTGCTTTACGACTTCCGTGAAGAGTTCGTGGGAAAGAGAGGTGAATTGGTGTTGTGAACAGGCGGAAATGAGATTTAGGGGACATGCAAAATTCTGTGTTAGTGGCGGGGACAAGGGATTGGATCAGGGTGGACTGCATGTGTTCAGATTTTCGTAGGACACAAAAACCTTGTGATTCAATTCGCGAGCCTATTGTCGAACTCAAACCTCTATTGTATCACTGATTGCACAAAAACTGCTAACCAATCGAATCGAAGCCTCCAGGTGCACTTTCATATGTGTACTTCAAGCGGCTATCAGTTCCCAATAGCGAGTAGAGATTTCACGTGTCGCAGCCAGATCGGATGCACAGCGCAGCTCCGCAGCATTTTCCCGCTGGCGAATTTCTTGAATCCTGATCTGCCTGTCCATGGCCCTCATCCCAGGAATTCCCGTAAAAGCCCCAATTTCTTGTCGACTGGTCAGATAACCAGTTAGCAGGAAGTGCTTCAAGCTCTAGCACCAGCCGAATAATCACCTGTTTTGACTGCTCAGCTTGTCAGCCATGGCTGATGCTGTGACACTCGTCACGGAGGTCTCTAAGCATGCGCATGGGGCACTTCCTGATTTGTTCCTGAATGTTTTTATTCCAACAACTGCAGTTGTTGGCATTCTCTTCGCTATCTTCCAATGGATCATGGTCTCTCGCATCCGTATTGGAGGTGCTCCCGATGGCCAGTACGGTCTTTTGGAAGATGGGACTGCAGACACTGTCATCCAGCAGGTTGCTGATATTCAGTCCGCCATTTCCATGGGTAAGTAAAACATACAGCATTCTGTTCTTGCATATATCAGTTCTCAAGCTACCTTTGCCCACCGTTATTAGGTGCATTCACCAGAACCGTTCAATGTGCTCCCGGCATGACGAGTTTCCTTGCCTTTGTACAGGTGCGGAATCGTTCCTGACCACGGAGTACAAGTATCTGGCCGTCTTTATGAGCGGCTTTTCCGTGATCATCTTTCTCTTCCTTGGATCCGTCGACAACTTCGATAAGCAGGGCATTGCCAATGCTGGTTTCAGCACTTTGGCATTCGTCCTCGGGGCGCTGACATCGACGGGTTCGGGATACCTCGGCATGAAGATTGCTACATGTAAGCACCACATATTTTGCTGTTTTCCCCGTAACAGATATCCGTCGATCAGCTCGGTCACTATCTTTACCTATTTTAACTCCAACATTTCTTCGATGATGGTGCAGATGCCAACGCGAGGACCACCATGGAAGCTAGAAAGGGAATTCCTGCAGCATTCGTCGCTGCTTTCCGCGCTGGATCGGTCATGGGTTTCCTCCTGTCGGCAAACGGGCTGCTGGTGTTGTTCCTGACCATCCTCGCGTACAGGAAGTACTACGGCGATGACTGGGCCGGCCTGTACGAGTCCATCACAGGTTACGGCCTTGGTGGTTCATCTGTGGCCCTGTTTGGTCGTGTTGGTGGTGGTATCTACACCAAGGCTGCCGATGTTGGTGCGGATCTCGTGGGCAAGGTTGAGAGGAACATTCCCGAGGACGATCCCAGGAACCCTGCTGTAAGTACTTCTATCAAGTGGCTTTCCAGCGTTTAATCTGAGACCTTCTGAACAATGCTGATGCATCTTTCATCCTTACAGGTGATTGCTGACAACGTGGGGGACAATGTGGGTGACATTGCGGGCATGGGTTCTGACCTGTTCGGCTCCTTCGCCGAGTCGACCTGCGCGGCGCTTGTGATCTCAGCCCTGTCTCAGCCTGGAAAGGACCACGATTTCTCCGCCATGTGCTTCCCTCTTCTGGTCAGCGGTGCCGGTATTCTCGTGTGCCTGATCACCACCATCATCGCCACGGATATTCAGCAAGTGAAGGAGAAGGCTGAGATTGAGCCGGCATTGAAGAAGCAGCTGGTCATCTCCACTGTGCTGATGACTCCTGTGATCTTCCTCGTTGCGTTCTACGCTCTTCCGCCTACCTTCAAGATCACAGTTGTCGGACAGGGCGACAAGGTTGTTCAGAACTGGTGAGTCCGTCTCCGAAATTCGTTGCGCTTGCACTTGTGAATGGTATCATCGGCATTGCGCTAAACATTTCACCTTATCTTGTAGGTACGCATTCGCGTGCGTCGCATCGGGACTTTGGGCTGGGCTCCTTATCGGTTTCGTCACCGAGTACTTCACGAGCAATGCTTATGTGTAAGTGGGTGGTTTTGTGATTCCTTTCCTCTTTCCTTTTCCTAGCATCTCGTCAACCCCTCGAAGAATAATCTGCACTAAGCTAACACATGGAATAAGGTGAACGAATCACTGATTCAAGAGTCTCATCTGAACTCCAGGCCTGTTCAAGACGTTGCTGACTCTTGCCGTACTGGTGCGGCAACCAACATCATCTTTGGCCTTGCCCTTGGCTACAAGTCGGTTATTATTCCGGTGTTCGCTATTGCCTGCTGCGATCTACGTGAGCTTCCAGTTCGCTGGCATGTACGGCATTGCCCTGGCTGCTCTTGGCATGCTGAGCACTCTTGCAACTGGTCTGGCCATTGATGCGTATGGGCCAATCAGTGACAATGCTGGTGGCATTGCTGAGATGGCGGGTATGGGTGAGGAGATCCGTGAGCGCACCGATGCTCTGGATGCTGCTGGAAACACCACTGCTGCTATTGGCAAGGTAACAAGTCATTTGCGTGGCATGTCTTTGTGTTGTGCTGTTTCCCTTTGGTGTCAATCTAAAGTAGCGTTTCTTGTTATCTACTTGCAGGGCTTTGCCATTGGTTCTGCTGCACTCGTGTCCCTTGCTCTGTTTGGAGCTTATGTCAGCCGGGCCAAGGTTAACGTGGTCAATGTTACTGAGCCCCAGGTATGCTTTTTCAAATTACTGCATTACTGTGAAGCACTTCCAGCCAGTTGTGTGGTGACTAAATCTTTACATGCATCTCTGTTGGATGCAGGCCTTCGTCGGGCTCCTTGTTGGTGCTATGCTGCCCTACTGGTTCTCTGCCATGACCATGAAGAGTGTGGGCAAGGCTGCTCTTGCAATGGTGGAGGAGGTCCGTCGCCAGTTCAACACGATGCCCGGCCTGATGGAGGGAACCACGAAGCCAGACTACAAGAAGTGCGTGGAGATCTCAACTGCTGCCTCTCTGCGTGAGATGATTCCCCCTGGCGCGCTTGTGATGCTCAGCCCTGTGATTGCGGGAACCCTGTTTGGAACCACTACCCTTGCTGGCATGCTGGCGGGTGCGCTGGTGTCTGGCGTCCAGATTGCCATTTCTGCGTCCAACACTGGTGGTGCGTGGGACAATGCCAAGAAGTACATTGAGGCTGGAAACTCTGCTCATGCCAAGAGCCTTGGTCCCAAGGGCTCTGATCCCCACAAGGCTGCAGTTATTGGCGACACTGTTGGTGATCCCCTGAAGGACACATCAGGCCCGTCCCTGAACATTCTGATCAAGCTGATGGCTGTGGAGTCGCTGGTGTTTGCTCCCTTCTTTGCCACTCACGGTGGCATCATCTGGGGAGGCAAGTAGATGAGATCTGGTTCTGTGAGGTAGTTGTGTTTCGGCTCGAAGATTTGTGATCTCTTTGTGACGTTTTGGAGATATCTAGGGCAGACATGTTTGAGGTGATGTTTGGGTAGTAGAATGTAGTGACATATGGTGTAGTGTCATGATTCCATGACATGTGTGGCTGTATTGAGCATGATTGTTAGTTGATTTTCATGCAAGACGAGTTGTTGATTTTCATGCAAAACGAGTTTGTAACTAGAAAGGGAGGGATTTTGATTGAGCAAAACGATACAGGTCTGTACACAGATCAAGAATATGCAGCTGACATAGGGTAACTTTCTGTACTTTCACAGCCTGTCTTGGTATTTTAATGATCAACATGAAAGTGATGCTGGTATGTTAATGTCCGTCATGCCAAAACATCAGTCAAGCTGCTTGTCGCACAATACCATATGCTGGAAAACCTGTCCTAACCCCAGGTGTAGGCTTGATTTCAAGGTCTGGGCATCTAGACATGAGAAATGCAAGGCAATGGAAAGATAGCGGCACACCCCACAAGTTGAGTTCTCTCAGTTGCATACATCCTGCCACCACAGCTAGAACTCCCTTGTCCGTCACTTTACGACATCCCCACAAATTCAGAATCTGCAGGATAAGGGGTGGACAAAAGGACATTTAAACCATGTCACCAGGAGTGAAACGCAACAGATTGCTTCAAGACTCGGGGCCAGGAGAACCAACCTCCAGAGATGGGCATGAACGGGCAATGTTGAAGATTGAAGATGAGGTGACACAGGTTCCTCCCAAGTTTAGATGCTTGAGCCCCTTGCACTTCACCACCTGCATGGATGGAGGCAAGCCTCAAGAAAGTCTCTCAGTCTGCTATCATGCACGCATGTATGCCTCCAGGAAAGTCGCAATGTACACCATAGATAGCAATAGCGGCAATGACTGGCCAACCAAACCTGGAGGCATTTATTGCAAGTACGTATGGTCTGATAAAACAGGCCTCGTACCCAGGAAGTACGTGAGATCCATCCCACACATGACTTTGCTGCTAGTTCCTGCGTCTGCTTGACTTGGAGTCTCTCTGGAATGGGTGTTCTACTTGCCGACATACCCCTCAGTTCATAAGCTTGTAAAACTGCAATGACATGCAGTATTTTGTCAATTATGACCGGAACGAGGCATGATGAGGCAAGAGGCTTACCAGTCGGCAGATGCCAGCATCAGAGACGCCCTTCACTCCCCACAGAGATAATGACTGAAGCTGGCAAACAGGAGTAGCCTTACTGGCAGCCTCGAGTGATGCATCTGACAAGCGGCAACCACATCTGCACATGAAGGAACCACAGCATGTTTATCCAACTTAAGCTACAACGAGACTCTGACCACGCTCGAGCTGTTGAACGGATTAGTAGTGCACGTGGGTTGATGCTTTTGACAGCGAATCCACGTACAGGTCGAGCTCTGTGACGACGCAAGCCATGGGAATGATTGATGGCAGGGCGAATTCCGGATTACGGCACTTGGCGAAGGTTAAGCGCTGTCGATGCCCCCATAATCGCACTGCTGCATTACGCCAAGACCTCGAAACTCTGGCGGCACTGTAACGCGCGATGGGCGAGCAGAAAAAAAATACATGACGCGAATCTCGAAACAAGGCGGTGGGAATTGAGATAGAATTTGCAGACTACATGAGTATCCTAGAACTCGCCTTGCAATGTCATGATACGAGCGAAGGTGTTGGAAGCAATGAATCAGAACATCTTCGGGGAGTTCTGGCGGCTCTTTGTAATCGTCGTGAAGGTCTTCCGAGGAAGTTTCTGCACCATCATCGTCATCGTGTCTCTCTGACCACCATGCTGATCCATCATCTCTAGGATTTCCCCAGTCTAGTAGACGCGCCAGAAGCAACTGCGCCATGTGTCACTATACACCCAGAAATCTATACAGGTTATGCCGCTGACTTATGTACACGAAAGGGAGCGGATAAACGCTACCAACGGACCATGGTACTCGTGCCGCTTTGGACCACACGCGTGGCAGGCAGGCCAACAAACGATCACGAAGCACAGGCCACGTGAGCTTACGCTAGTCTAGAATGACAGTGACAATGGTCGCTACAATTCGCTAAGCCTTGCTAAATTCAACTTCAGTTCCTATACCTAACCCCACTCTTCAGCCACATCCGTGGCATTACAACGCACAACGCACACCTGATCTCTCTTCTCTTCTCCCTCGCATTCCTAAACCAAAGCGAACAGACCGTCCTGTGTTACTCTTGCTGGCAGTTTAGTCTTCAGCTCCTCTCACAGAAGTCGTCCTGGTTCCTTGCTTCTAGCTTGACCATGGTTTCGTGTCGTGGGTTGTTGTGTTGTGATAGATCATAGAGATCAGGTGGAAACCTGGGCAGGAAAGGCTGGCATACAACACACCGCTGGATGGAAAAAGCGCCCAGAATTGGCCAGTGATTCTCGAGGTCGAGTCAGCAGGGAGCACGTTGATTGGTCATCTGAACTCCTACCAATAATGTCAGCCCCACTTTCGTTCGAGGGCAGCAGAAACTTGTCCAGCGCTGCGGAGCACTCTCACGTGCCTGCCGAAATTGGGTCATTCCGTCCACACCCAACTTTGCAGACAAGAAACGCGTTTCTAGTTTTCTCGCTATCAAAACAATGAATCACGTGTGTAACACTTCACAGGTACTGAATCATACCTCTTCCGCAATGCTGAGTTACAGTAAACTCCTGCCTGTTAGCTAGGAGCACACCTCCACATAACTCCGCGGCCGCGGTTGCCAGTTGAGAAAACTTCATTAGGTTACTAGCATAATCGTACCCGCAAGTTTCCGCTCACCATGGGTGGATTGTTTGGAGATTTACCTCCGCCTTCCGACGCGGACAAGGCCCCGTCGGACGCAAATCCTTCCGCGGCTTCCGCTTCCGCATCTTCCGCCGGTCGTCCGAAGCTATGGTCCGCCAAAATGACTCCCGCTGCGCTGCGAAAGCCCTCCGCTGCGGCCCTCTTTGCTCCGCCAACGTCCGTCCTCCGCAGTCAGTCGCTTTCCGCGTCCAGTGCGGCTTCCCCCTCAGCAAAATCGGCTCGTTTGCCGGCCCCGCCGCCGCCGCCAGTAAGCAGCGCAAGCGGGGGAACAAGTACATCCGCAATCGTCGCCGCAGCTGCTGCAGCAGCAGCTGCAGCGGCAGCAGCATCGGGACTGGGTCCGGGAGCTGGAGGAACGGAAGCGCAGGCAACCCCAATGGCAGTTGATTCCGCTTCCGCCGGCGAGGCTACTCCCCCCTTCCCTTCCGCCTACTCCGCGCAACTTCCCCTACCTCACGCCCCCGCGTATCCCCCTGATCCACGCTTCGCCGCTCATCCAGGATATCAGGCGCCTCCGCCCCCCTACGACAGCGCAGCCGCAGCGTTTCCTCCGCCCGTCCCCCCCTATGGTTCCGCGCCTCCCCTTCCCCCGTATCCCCCCCCGGGCTCTGCCCCTGCGCCTCCACCTCCGCCTGCACCTGCGCCTGCTCCCCCTGTCCTGCCGCCAGGTGGCGGAGCCGCATTAGTTGCTGCAGCTGCTGCAGTAGTAGACGAATACGACCCGGCTAGACCTAATGACTACGAGAAGATACTAAGGGAGAGGAAGAGGAAGGCTGCTGAGGAGGAGAGGCGGCGGGAGATGGAGAGGAGGAGGAGGGAGGAGGAGGAGCGGGAGAAGGAGCGGGAGGCAGTGCTGCAGCGGCAGAGAGACCTTGAGCTCGCGATCAAGGCTGAACGTGAGGTAGGTGCTACAGTGCGCATTGGGGATACCTCACGCACTTAACCACGTTCAGTGAGGTAGGACCTTGACGCATTGGGGGCATATCCACTCACTTGAGTCAAGGCAAGAGACCAACAGAAAGTTGCTCTGGTGTTACAACAAACATGCTCGCACACTTAACCATTTATGTGAGATGAAGGTTTGAGGTACGATGAAGCCTTTTCTCACATCAATCAGCCTCTGAATTCGGACACAGTAGCGCCTAAACCTTCACTCTGACTTTTCTGTCTGTTGACATCCGTTTCTGCAGCGTGCAGCAGCAGCCAAGGCAGCAGAGCAGGAGGGGGGCGCGTCAGCATCACCAGCAGCAGCTGCAGCCTCTGCTGGCACGGAACGCTCCCAGCTGCGTGTCAGTGGGGAGGAGGCCTGGCGCCGCAGAGCCATGCTGAGTGGAGGGGGGGCAGGAGGGGGAGCAGCGGGGGGACTAGGAGCAGCAGCGGGAGGAGCATCGGCGAGTCCACGAGCGGCAGAGAGATCGCCATCTCCTCCTAAGTGAGACTTCTTAACTTTTATTGAAGCAGTACATCTGGTTTTCTTTTCTTTGCATGGCTGGTCATGGCTGTTCATCAACCAGCAAACGCGTCAAATGTTCAGTTGCTTGCTAGTCCGTTCAGTTTCTAGCCTGTGAGCATGACATCCCATGGCATCAATTCTCGGCTGTCTTAAATTCACCCAACTCGACTCTGCTGTTACACTCGACAGGTCTGACGGGTTTGCCATGCCCAAGAATTCCGGCGACGGGTTGACAGCAGCAGAGCGGATGATGATGAAGATGGGATGGAAGGCTGGGCAAGGGCTGGGTAAGCAGGAGCAGGGTATCACCACGCCTCTCATGGCAAAGAAGACGGACAAGCACGGAGGAGTGATTGTGGCTGCCAAGCCGCTCAAGAAAGGTGGTGGAGGGGAGGGAGGGGAGAATAATGCTGCTGGTGCTGGTGGGAAGAGGGCGAAGCTGGGCGGTGTGGCACTCAACGGGCCTCCATCGAAGGTTGTCCTGCTAAGAAACATGGTATGTTTGCTCCTCCCATATTTTATACACAAGCACCCATGTTGGAAACAAGCAATTGCGATATGTGGTTTTGGTGCTGATTATGCTGGTCCTGTGCTCAGGTTGGTCCTGGAGAGGTGGATGAAGAGTTGGAAGAGGAAGTGGCAGGTGAGTGTCTCAAATATGGCACTGTAACACGGGTGCTTATATTTGAGATTACAGATCCTTCCTGTCGACCAGTGGAAGCTGTTCGCATATTCATCACCTTTGATCGGACGGAGTCGGCTACCAAGGCACTCGTAGACCTCGATGGAAGATTTTTCGGTGGAAGAACAGTACGGGCATGCTTCTTTGATGAAGAAAAGTTCAAGAAGAATGACCTAGCGCCAGGTCCAAATGAGCCGCCTGTTCCCGACTTTCAGAAAGCCTAGGGTGCCATTTTTCGATACTGGTTTCTGTTCTGATCATGTTGGTTGTGTCTTAATTGTAATGGTTGCATTCTATATTGCATCATTTCTTATTCCACACTGGAAGCTCTGTATAATTGGCTGTGAGAAGGAATACACTATTCAGTGCAAATCGACATTCGTAATTAGGAACTCTGTATAGAGTACAACACCTCCTCGATTTGCCGATGCGCTGGGGACCCTCATGAACACGAACAGAGCTCATTTTCACTGCTTGCCATTCCATTGCACAATATGTTTCGAGCTTTCAATCTACCTTGGACATTTGGTTGCTGCCATCCCAAAGACAAGCCAACTCCAATATCCACGAGCTGGCAGTTGTGCCGTTCCGCCATGATGACTCCCGACGAGAATGTTCTAAAGTCTGTGGAGAATAAGGAGGTGCGGAATGTAGTAGTGGGGTGATCCTATCGTTAAGTGTTTTTTACGTGTGAACTTACCCTGGATGCTCTACAGCCAAGGAAGTCGACAGTGAAGGATCTTGCGAAGAAGTTTGACCTCAAGCCTAACTTATCGGTTCAGGGACCCAAGGTCGTCTCTAGGGATTATGACGTAAGCATCTATCTGCTGCAAGCAATCCGCCATTGCCGCTGCTCGCCTGAATATTTCACGTAACTGACAGGACGCTGAGGGAAGGCTGACCAAGTCAGAATTGGAAGAACTAAAGACTCGTTTGGAGAAACTTTATCTTCTGCTGGATGGCAGCCAGCGGGATGAAGTCGGCTCAATCTTGGAGATTGTGAGCACCAAAGAAGTGCGCGGAGTCGCTTTCAATGCAACAGTGGGTAAAGCCGTACTGTTGTTTCTCAGGTTGGCAAGGCTTTGCGCCGGAGGTCCAGCGATCGCTCGGAAAACAAATGGACGGAAATCCCGCTCAAGTCAACAGACCTGCAAAACCAGGCTAGTGTTATCAGATCATGGTTTGAGGGGAGCCTCTTCGTCTTAGCTGTGCTAAATTTCTTCGTAAGTTACAGGGAGATGATGATGCGCTTTTATCACTGCTCGCATCAAAGGGGGAAGAGGTTTCGCGTCTTAAGGCAGAAGTGATGGAGCTCAAGTCTCGCATGGTCGGCGAGCGGGGGATTATGAGCTACGAGATTCAAGGAAGTGAAGAGCTAGGGAACCTTCTGTTCGTGGTTGCATTGTCTGATGACGTGGCGCACCCATCCCAGTGTAACATTCGCTGGTATCGATCCAGCAAAGATGGGAAGCATACTCAGCTTATCATAGGTAGTTCGTAGTCATCACTTACCGTCATCATACATCGCCAACCGTTCTATTCTTAATCTTTCTGATTGCACTTAACCACCAAGTAAAATGCATTTGCAGGCGCGGAAGGGACTATGTATGCAACTGAGCCTGAAGACCTGGGCTGCGTCATTCAGGCGGCGATTGAATCATCGTCAGCTTGTCAAGGAATTATGTTTCTGACAACAGGGGAGATCCAACCAGGTCAGATAACGTTGGGATTTAGTCACATGAAGATTGTAGCCGCAGCTGATTTGTGTCTCTGCTTCCAGGGAGCATGTACGAGACGCTGCTGGCTCAGACGGTCCTTCTTAATGACGTCCAGTTTTCGGTATGAAGTCCTTTAGTTGCACTTTGATTCGTGTATGTGGTCAATCTGCAACTAATTCTTGTGTTCAGGTCCTCATATGCAACAATGATGGGAGCACAACTGCTAATGTAGATCAGGCTCTGTTGCGAATCAACAAAGCGCGGGTGAAATTGGTCACCACCTCAAACTCATTAGTTAGGAGAGAGTCGTATAACCAAGCAATGCAGGTAAGGCACCTCTGACTTGTCGCAACAGGTGGGTGTTTCTTATGGGGATTGAGGCGTGGCAAATGGCAGTTCTATGGGCTTCGGTGGAGCACCAATTCTTCTTCTCTTGGTGCATGCTGGGTTCCGCGCAAGGGTGTGATGTTCAACATCATGTTCCAGTCCATCACAGAGAGGAACATAGCCATTCAAGTAGCAAAGACCTACGCCAGCAAGCTGAAGGTGGGCATGAAGTACAGTATGATGCATTGGCCGGACACACTGTTACGGTTCGGTACCAACTAACTCTGCTTGCCTTTTTCAGATTGATGTTTCGGGGCCAGAAGGCCATTTTCATGGTCATGATGAGTGATACGGTAGGACTGAAATGGTGCAGAACTGGGGAGGAATGAGAGGTCAAAAAGAAAACACCACGGCAGATGTGACGAAGGGGTTGGGTGGGTTGGGTGAAGGAACGGTGGGGCACTGGTTCAGGGGGTGGGGATGGGGCCGTTGTGAAGACTCTGCGTCGCGCACCGGGATGCAATAGGTGTTTGTGGTGCTTGGGTACAAAGCAGCAGTAGCATACAGCAGCAAGCTTCTTGTGTACACTGCAATGTTCTACAACATAACTATGAGTGCATATAAGTATGGGTATAATGTAAGCACAAAGCTGACGTACTAAAATGGCCAGAGGACAAGAACACAAGATGTGTGCCTCCCCTCGATCAGCCACAACAACGCAGAAATGTTTACCAGATGCAACGCGCTTGGAAAGGAAGCATCTCCTAAACTACAGCTTCTTGAAAGCCTGATATGTCTCTGTGGTAACTGGGTCGCCGATGCTGGACTTGAGCCAGCACTCGTTGCCCCATGTCGTTACAGCAAGAGCACACTGGGTGTTGACTTTACAGAGCATCAAGCAGTCCACTGCCTTGACAGGGTACTGATATTCCAAGGTTTCGCCAAATGGAAAATTGGTGGCCATGGGTGCAGGAGCGAATCCATGGTCTGTTTCGAGGGACAAGTTGGGGGTGGGTTAGCCAGGGGTGTGAAAGAAAGGTAATGACATGGGAATTAACACCAGCGCAAACGGGTAGCTGAAGAGGCTTACCATGTGGGTTGATGCAGCTTGAGCTGTTCTTCCCCTCTTTAACCTGGCAGATAAAGGAGCCACAGCCACCATTGTTGAAGGAACAAGAGCCAGACTGTGAAGCCAGAACATCCCATAACTGTAAGCTTGTTTCTAGGTACTCCTCCTCGGAAGTTGTATAAACTTCCGAGCTGATGGTCAGGTTTGTGCTTGGATCTTCGTAACCCTCAGGTATCCAGATTGATTCCTGCTGCTTTTTCCTGTAGTAGGACGTGGCAAAGCTGCTGACACAGACGCCACTGGAACAGGTTCCTGAGTAGGAATTGCCTCCGTTACCAAAACCAGTGCAGCTTGTTCCATCTGCCTCAACCCCAGCATTGCCACACTTGCCATTGACGCAGGTTGGTGCAATCGTACATGCTTTCGCACGGATCGCATAACACTTGACACACTTCACTGCACAAGGTTGCAATGTGCACAGGCGGTGGACACATGAATGAAGTAAAACTGGACCAGAGCGCAAACGACGAGAGAAGGACATGAAATAAAGAAGAACAGCACCTCTCTCACCTTTTCCGCATGGCATGTGGCCAAACTGCAGCATAAAATCAATGACTCCTGATGGGTCAAGCTTAGCAGCATTCTCCAGATTAATTGTGAAATCCAAAAACCCCAGCGTCCCCACCAGTCCTTTCCCTGTCTTGAACGCATGCTCTGATATCACATAGTGTGAATTTTTGAATTCTTCCAGTGCTGCTTCCTTGTCCTCTGTTCCAGGATCCACAAACGTAATTGTGCTCCGATCATTCCCCTGAGCAGGCTTGGCATAGCTTGCGATGAACAGAGCAGTGAGAGCCCGACTAGCGATAGTTTTCTGGGCAATAGTAAGAAAATCCGATCTCTTTTTCAGGTGGGACAGCATTGGTGGGAAGATTTTCTTCCACCACTGTGACACAAGACAGTAAGGAGGGCAGACCGGGAAAAAAGGGCAGATGAGTTGAGTTGGAAGGCAGGATGGTTGTTTTAAGAGGTGGCATGCACAGTGGCTGCTGAAAGAACACACATAGAAGTTTGAAAGAAACCGGTGGTGTGGCGTGGATTTCTGCAATGACATACGAGTGAACCTAGTACAGGAAAGAAAAACACTGCAGACGGTTTACACGCTAATGCCTCACTTTGCTCAGCTGCTTCGATATCTTGAAGGCAGGGTCGATGTACGGGTCGATCGCCGGCAGCTTGACCTTGTACGTCAGAAACGTTATTGAGCTAGCCTGTAACGAGGATGACAAAAGGGAGTTAGGGAAGGGAGGCCACGCAGGAGTTGAGTGGTATGGTATTCTCAAATAGAGGGGTAGAGAGAAACACTTTATCCAAAGCTCTCCCACTAACCTGGCAGCTTACTTGCATTGCTCACAGTGCAGAACCTTCTTCGAAGTTGCAACCCACCTGCTTCCAGACAGTCTTGAGACATATCTTGTAGGAGGGAGAGCAGCCATAGCCGCAGTTGAACCATTACCCCCCAAACGCAGTTGTAAACCTTCCTGGAAGTTTCAACTCACCTGCTTCCAGAGAGTCTTAAGGCACATCTTGTACGATGAGGAGCAGCCAGAGCCGCAGTTCACCCATTGCATCCAACGGCTCATACTGATCCTTTGATTTTATTCAGAAGTTTCATTCAACCCACCTGCTTCCAGACCGTTTTGATGCACATCTTGTAGGAGGGGGAGCAGCCATAGCCGCAGTTCACCCATTGCCCTCCAAATGGCTTGATAAGATAGACCTTTTGAGAGGATGCAACCCACCTGCTTCCAGACCGTTTTGATGCACATCTTGTAGGAGGGGGAGCAGCCATAACCGCAGTTCACCCATTGCCCTCCAAACGCCGGGCAGCTGCGTATGCACACCTGCAGTGCAGGCGGGTAGCGAAGGGGAGAAAAGGGAAGAGGGGAGGGTGGTACGGAAGGGGGTTGGAGAGGGGAGAGGGAGGGACAGGGGCAGTGGAGGATGGAGAGGTGAGGGCAGTGCACGCAATCACGTATGGAGGCCAGGGAGGGTAGGTGGAGGTGGGGAATGGGAAGGGGAAAGGGGGAGAGGAAGGGTGGGGAGGGACAGGAGCAGTGGATATCGACTGTTGCGGGCAGGTTACGCAAGCACATCTGCAGCCCAGGGTGGGGAGGTGGAGGCGGGAAATGGGAGGGAGAAATGAGGAGGGGGAAGGGTGGGGAGGGACAGGAGCAGTGGATATCGACTGTTGCGGCAAGCACATCTGCAGCCCAGGGTGGGGAGGTGGAGGCGGGAAATGGGAGGGGATATTGACAGTTTGGGAAAATATGCGGCAAGCACATCTGGAGCCCAGGGTGGGGACGCGGAAGAGGGGAGGGGGAAGGGGCAGAGGGGGGAAAATGTGGGCAGGGAAGAAATGGGGCAAGAAGCGCATGGAGAATGGGAGTTGGGGGCGCTCCAAGGAAATGCATGTGGGGGCGAGTGTGGGGAAACAGGAGAATGTGATGTGGGTGTGGAATGGAGGAGGGTGTGGAAGAACAGTGGAACATGAGCATTTGATGGGGGCGGGAAAGGGCGGTGGGCGGCGCCACTGGGTGGTGATGAGGGACAATGGGCGGCAATGGGCGGCAATGGGCGGCAATGGGCGGTGATGAGGGACAATGGGCGGTAAGGGGCGGTGAAGGGACGCGATGGGAGAAATGATGGGGGAGGGAAGAGAGAGGGTGGGGGGAAGGGGTGAAGGAAGGGTGTGCGTGTGTGTGGGGAGGGAGGGAATGGGGGGGTTTGCGGAGTAACGCAGATTTATCACTCATTTTATTCTGCTCGATTTTGACTCCTATGAGCGTTCCTTCCTTTTCCCTTCCCCCCCCCCCCCCTCCCCCCCAACATCCCTTCAACCCCACTCCACTTCCCGCCTCTCCCCTATTCCCCTTTCATGTTTCCGCTCGGCGCGCAAGCGCGGCAAGCGCAAGTGCAGCGCGCGCAAGCGCGGCAAGCGCAAATGCAGCACGTCGGGCTTACCGGTCCGATCCCGCGGAACCTTTTCGCGCCTCTCCCCAATCCTCCCTCCTTCCCCTTCCCCCCACTTTCCCCCCCCCCTCCTTCCCCCCCCCCCCCCCCCCCCCCCCCCCCCCTCCCTCCTTCTCTTTTTTTCCTTTCCGCTCAGCAGCAAGCGTGCGGCACGCGCAAGTGCAGCACGTGCGGCTTACCGGTCCGATCCCGCGGAACCTTTTCGCGCATTTTTTGGTTGGCGGCATGCGCGCGTAGGTCTCGCGGTAGCAGAACATGTACACGTTGGTGTAGTTAATCTTCAGACTTAGGTCCTCGCGCCGCGCGGGCAAGTGCGCCTCGGGAAATCCGCCGTGATGGCTGGAAGAAGCGCCAGGGAGTAGCAGCTGGTTGCGCGCTTCGACGGGGAGGTAAGGAGATGGGGCGGCGCGAGAAGGAGCTGCAAGGAAGCTGGCGTAAGCAAGGAGGGCGATGATGTGGCACGGAAGCGTACATTGTCGTCGGCGAAGGGACGACGTGCGAAGATCATAACCGCGGTTCGGGAGGGTGACTGCCATGCTACGCAGACGAATATAACTACGGACGAAAAGCCGCGTCGAGAAATGTCCTCGAGGCAAAAGGTTAAATATGAAAACCTCTCTTGAGCGACTACTAGAACCTACTAAGCTGCTCTGAGCTGGTACGTCACGTCCGTTACATAGCTAAATAGAAGGCTGAAATGTGGCTAGGCTACTCGTCTTCGTTTAACTAGCAACAGGAACTTGAGGCTGAACAGGTTGCTACGGAAGCAGGTTGGGGTCTAGGCGCGGATATTAATAGACGCGGAGATTAGTTGTGCTGTACGGTACTGAAGTTGCAGTACGAGGTACGACACGTGGTGTGCGTCAAAGCGCGTAATGCGAGACTAAGTAACGGAACGATTCTTGGTGGAAGAAATGTGAAGGCGGTCTGGAGACGGAAATTTCTAGAGGAAAGTAGCGAGGAGAGTTCGGAACTTAGGAGTGGACTCTAACTGGAAGAAATGTGGTGACGGTCTCAAGAATTCTCAACAGGGGGAA